GAGATTTGGAACTTGGGAGATTTGGAATTTGAGAGATTTGGAGTTTGGGAGATTTGGAACTTGGGAGATTTGGAGCTTGGGAGATTTGAAACTTGGGAGATTTGGAGCTTGGGAGATTTGGAATTTGAGAGATTTGGAATTTGGGAGATTTGGAATTTGAGAGATTTGAAACTTGGGAGATTTGTAATTTGAGAGATTTGGAACTTGCGAGATTTGGAAATTGGAAGATTTGGAATTTGAAAAATTTGGAATTTGGGAGATTTGGGATTTGAGAAATTGTGTATTTGGAAGATTTAGAAATTGAAATCTGGAAATCTGCCAATTCCTAAAAACCTAACAAGTCTAACATAACTTAAGAATCTAGCCTCCATAGCTACCAATTCCCTAATTACCCTAATTTCCGTAAAATCTCCAAAAATCCCAGTTACGCCAATGTCGACTCCTACCCATGAATGTAAATAGCAGTTATCGGGAATGGATCGTACAATGCCATCGAGGAATTGGCTCAGAAATTTTTGTTGCTTGTAATCGTTGCATTAATTGCTTTTACGGAATGTACCCGACGGGTTTCCACGTTTCAGGCCGAAGGAACGGCAAACAGCCTAACGCGAAGATGCAGGAGGTCTTGGGTAAAACGATCGAAGAGGCACGAGCTATGGTCTCGAAGGTAATTTCCCTGCTGAGTTTCGTTTCTCGTTTTTATCGACACCGAGATTGATTTTCTTGTCCCGTTCGCCCGGTACTATTTTGGTTTCTACTGTTTCGTTTTGCAGAAGCTGGTACAGCAGGAGAAACTTGTGACTCAGAAAACTGTGCAGGAGGCTTTGGATATCTTGAGGGGTGCTGTGACTATAGTTTATCCGATGGGACTTCCGCCGCATGATGTTATTAGGCTGGAGTTTGAGAATACTGAGGATTTGAGCGGCACTCAGGCTTCTCTTGAGGTATTTATTTGTATTTAATTAATTTTAATACGTGGGAAAGGATTCTGTATTGTTGTAATAATTGTTATAGTATAATTATTCACTTTGTTATATTCATATAATATTTATTATTGCTAGTTTCTCTTCATGAACTAACCGCTGAAGTACACCATGATTTATGAAACGTAACTTTGAATAAAAATTAAATTAAAATTGAACACTGGAAGTATTGACATTTAAGAAGTCAGTGGTTGTTGTTCTACGGGGTGGAAGATTTAAATTTATGAAGAATGATATTGGAAAATACTATTTTTTATTAGTAGGGAGATACTAAAATATTGAATACAAGTTTACAGAATGAGTGTTGTTAATATAAACTTTTTTTTAATCTTCGTATTAGAAAAAACATTAAAGGACTGAAACATTTTGTGGTAGCTACTTCAGCGCCACATTCACATTGCGGTCTTCAGGTCAAGTATGAGTTACCCCCTGAGTTAGTATAATAAAAACTTGTGTATTTTAACTGTTTAAATGTGAAGTAAGCTCAACTGTGTCCTTTTAAGACTCCTCTTATATGTATAAAAATTGCACTTTATTACTGCGTTCTTATTAAAAAAAATAAAAATTGTTGTAACATTTCGTTTGGTGCTCGTATTTAAATCATGCTCATATAGTAATTTCTACCTGCACCATTTATCCCAATTTGAGGCAACTTTAAATATGAAATAAATTTATTTTAATAAGACTTGATTTAAATTTTATTTCAATAAGATGATACAGCAGCTAGCTATGTAAAGCATGGAAGATGACGTCGATATTTTGTGGTTGCAGGTTATCGACGTGCAACTGGCGCAGCTTTGGTTCTCCGGAAAAGAAATGTTACCAGGAAAGAAACTGAAGGATTATTTGGGGCACAACGAGAAAACTAAAATCATTGTGAAGCTACAGAAAAGAGGAGCTGGAAGGCCTGCTCGTGAACCATTGATGTCTGAAGATCAACGAAAACAACTGATGTTGCATGCTTACAAACGCCAGGAGCAGCTAAAGGTAAGTGGACTTCCATTTCTCGATAAAGTAGTTTTCTTCTTTGTAGACATTGAACTTTGTTTAAATTCAAATTATTACATTTTTATGAAACTGATACACGAAGATTAAATGATTAATGTACAGTAGAATTATCATGAAATATGGACGTAAATATCTTAATTTACTTGTTAAAAAAGGACAAGATTTCTTTGCTTCCAAAATTATATTCCTAGTAACGAAATGAGGTAGAAATTAAACATTTGACGTTGTTTATAACTTTCATAGTATTTTCAAGCATTTGTAGTATTATGAGAACCATTGTTATTAGCAGATAAAAATTCTTTGTTGAATGAATAAATTTGTAAGAGCACCGTTCAAAATTATTAAAATGTGTACAGGAAGAAAGCTGCTTCGAAGAAATATTTTGCATGCTACTTCTGTCAAATATTGTAATTTAACAAAGTTGTTTTTTATCATTACATTGCGATATTGTATAATATTTTGAATGTGTAATATCTCAATATAAATGTGTGTATTAAAACATGATTTTTTAATAATTAATACGGTGACTTTCGAGCTACTTTAAATTGCAAATCTCCGCATTTTAATAATATCGTATCGGTATTTAGTTCGATTGAGAACGTTATCATTAACACGTCATCATTATTGATTTATATGCTGGAATAGGATAACGTGTATTTTATTATCGATCAACATCACTGAACGTCCTTTCTAAAGTAGGTTAATTCGTTTCAGTTACACCTTATAAAATAATGAATAAGGAACTTGTATCTGCAGATATGAAGTTGCTTTATTTACACAATGTATCAAAACACTGAATCAATGAACTCTTTTAACTATCCACAATTTAACCACTTTTTAACAAATATTATAATAAATTTTCTAATGCAAGAATTTTCTAATGCAATTAATACAATTTTAAAATCACAACTTTCGACAAATTAAATAAAAATAAAATTAAACCATCGTGGGTTAAAATATCAAAATTTTTCTGAATAAAGATCCACAGAACGATGTACAACTCAATAAATTGCCAAGGAAAAATTTTGAATAATAACAGAAATAACATGAATAAATCTAGGTAGAGATAAATAAATTTCATAAATATGGAATCTGTTTGTTCTAGTTGAACGAACTTGCCAGAACGATTCTTCTATTTCCGGTATTGATCTGGGAGACATAATTGCGTGATTTCCATTTGTGTTACGAGGCGCATTGAACTATGCTCCATCAATAATAGAATTTGTCTTCAGCAATTCCCTTTCATCGTGTCATGAATTTCGTTTCGCGTTGTTTGAAGACAATTTTCCGCACTCGATGCAAATCGTGCATTCCAACAATCTGGAATCGATTATTATGGAAATTAGACCTCTTTTTTCTCGTTGTTTTTAAAACTATTAATTTTACAATCAGATTCTTGGATCCTCAAGTTCTTATGTTTCTGAATTGTCTAATTCGGAAACTTTCAAGTTATCAAATTTTCAGAGTTTCAAACTTGCAAATTTATTAAAGTTCTCAAACCCCCAAATTTGTCAAATTCCTGAATTCTCAAATTACGAAATTCTCAAATAGTTACATTTTGAAATTTTAAATTCTTACCTTCCCAATTTCTCAAATTACCAAATTACAAAATTTCCAAATTACCAAATTACAAAATTTCCAAATTACCAAATTACCAAATTATCAAATTATCAAATTACCAAATTACCAAATTACCAAATTTCCAAATTTTCAAATTTGCAAATCTCCAAATCTCCAAATCTCCAAATTTCCAATTATCTAAATTTCCAATTCTTCAAAATTCCAATTCTCTAAATTTCCAATTCTTTAAATTTTCAATTCTCCAAATTCCCAATTTCTCAAATTCCCAATTCCCCAAATTCTCAATTCTTCAAATTCCTAATTCTCCAAATCCCAAAATTTCCAAATTCCTAGTTCCTCAGTTCTCCAAATTTCCAAATTTCCAAATTCCCAAATCTCCAAATCCCCAAATCTCCAAATCACCAAATTCCCAAATTCCCAAATTCCCAAATTCCCAAATTCCCAAATTCCCAAATCCCTAAATTCTATAATAATTTTCCTTCAAAGTTCTAATTTTCAAACTATGCACTTAAAAATTTTTCCCAACTAAAGCGCACTCGTGAAAGATCTTCCTCCGCCGCCATTTTGATGCATTGATTAAACTTGCACACGCAAATTTCCAAATGACTGCTTTTGACATATTATACAATTAATTCAAACCGAACTATTACCTTGTAAAATATAGAACACGATCTTAAATACCTATTTAAAATAAACTCACGCTCTCCCATTCTTTTAAATAAATTTTCTAATATCTTCAACAACTTCAAAATAAAGATACAAGTAATTGAGTGTTATTTTTCATTATCCGTATTTCTCCGTGACTCGAAGAAATAACAAAAGTTTCAGTTCTCTCGATAAAACTTCTACCAACTGTTTGTTCTTCCTCCTCTTTCTAACAACTTGTTACACGCTCGAACCGTCTATACAATGAATTGTAGTTCTATACAATGAACCGTCGTTCTATACAATGAATTGTTCCGAATTATTACTGAAAATCATAACAAAATGACGAATGTTTTCAATCGACTTCGAAATAAACGTAATTAATTTGTAAATATGAGAACATAACGCAGGGAATATTTCGCTTGGTCGTAAATTCAGGATATACTGCAGCCATAACCTATAGAAAGGATGAAATAATAGGAGAGCGATATTAAAAATTATGTTGAAAGCCTGGGCGAAGTGAAAGATCGGATGAAAGGGTTGTAAGTATTATTTCAGGGACGTGAACTACCTTTAAAAAAGAAGACAGGAAAAGTCTCTTCTGCCCATTAGCGCAAGAAACATAAATCTTGAAATAACAAAAAACTTTGACATTCACGTGGAAAGAAGTACTTTTTGATTATCAAACGATCTTTATGGTATAGCACGGTGTGTGAAGATTTCATCAAGGTCTGATTACATTAGCGTATCGATCTGATGCTTTTAACCCTTCGTGTAAAGTTAACGAAGGTTTGTTCCTTACATAGCACAAGGGTTCACGTTCTTTCCGCATCATTACATTAACGATGGAAATTTCAATCGACACAAAAAGTCGTTCGAATTGTTAACACGTTTATTCGACGTGAACGAGAACGCACTCGATCTCGACCTGTTTTCGACGTAAATGATTGTCAGTGGGACTGCACCTTGTTTCTTTTTTTGTTCGAACAATGCAGTCGTAATTAACGTCGAGTTCGATTAACCAACACATCGTTGTTAGAACTTTTTGCATTCGGTGTAAACGAGAAATACGTAAGATTTTTATCTCTCACTTATCATGGTTAACTACTTGTAACGTTTATTGAGAGCGAACAAATGTTTTCGTTGCTTTCAAATTAATCTTGATTAATATAATTTACTTTATCAAACACTTCGAGGAAAAGTTTGATAATCGTTTAAATATATGTAATCACGCATGCACGGCGAGAGTTTGATTGCCAGTTATCGTGATCATTGGAAACTATGATATTGAAATAAATCACCGGGTCGTCGCATATAATAATTTATAACTGTGATACTTTTGCTGTGTTCTTGTAGCTTCTATAAGACGTGTCCTCGACGCAAAGTGCGGTAAAACACGCGATCAACAACGATACTGTTTTGCAGCTTTCTTTTACTATACTTTCAAACACTTCTTTACATTTTCCACTTTAATTCAAAGTTTCTTGAGTTCAAAACAAATTATGCAAACTTTTAAATTTTCGAGTACACAAATTTACAATTTCACGAATTTTCAATTCTGAAATTATGGAATCTCAAAATCTAAAAATTTTACATTTCTGAAATTCCAAAATGCCTAATTTCAAAATGTGAAATATCTGAAATTCCAGAATTCCAAAAATTCCAGAACTCCCAGAGTTCCAAGAATTCCAAGAATTCCAAGAATTCCAAGAATTCCAAGAATTCCAAGAATTCCAAGAATTTCAAGGATCTCTAGAACTTCAAGAATTCCAAGAACTCCAAGAATTCCAAGAACATCAAGAATTCCAAGAATTCCAAAAATTCCAAGATTTCCAAGAATTCCAGAATTCCAGAATTCCAGAATTCCAGAATTCCAAAAATTCTAGAATTTCAAAAATTCCAGAATTTCAAAAATTCTAGAATTCCATAATGGTCAAATTTTAAAGTTTGAGAATTCCAAAGAATCCAGATTCCAAAATTTCCAGAATTCCAGAATTCCAAAAATTCTAGTATTCCATAATGGCCAATTTCTAAACTTTGAGAATTCCCAAGAACCCAGATTCCACAATTTCCAGAATTCCAGAATTCCTGAATTCCAAAATTCCAAAATTCCAGAATTCCAAAATTCCAAAATTCCAAAATTCCAAAATTCCAAAATTCTAAAATTGCAGAATTCCAAAATTCCATACTTCCAAAGTAGCAAAATTCCAACATCTTAAAATTCTCAAATTCCGAAATTCTATTCTTTTAACATTTCAGCATTCCAAAATTTCCGTCTTTCAATATCCAAGAACCCAAAAGTTCCAACCTTGTCCCTCCACCAAAACCGTAATTTTTCGCGACCCACACGCTCGTAACTTTCCGTGAATCGCACGATAAATATTTTATCTGCACTCGTGCGTCTCGAACGTGCGCGTGACACGAATGAGAGGAGCGACGTGGAAACAGGAGAACCATACTTATTTATATGCATGCTTCGATTCCAACTACCGAATGTAATTCAGTACCGAGGATTCATTAACGTTCCTTAATAAATACCATCGGCAGCTGAAATCGAATATGTTCGACGAGTGCTGCAGTTATCGATAACGTGATATTTTGTATTGTTAAGGAGATTGATTGAAAACCCAATGACATTTGAATTGACGTAAATAAACAGGATACGTTTGTTTGTGCTTGAGAACTCCCGTGTTTGTATCACATATTCCTGCAATGCGTTTCCAGATCGTTTAACATGCAAATTAACCGTTTCATTAGCTTCTTTAGTGACTGTGCGTATTGTATAAATGCATTTAAATCGCGTGTGTAAATATGAGATACCTTTCTCGATGCGTGACAGATCGTTTATTCAATAACGGTTTCTAGAGTGTCATTTACTCTTTCAGTGGGTTATTTTCATTATGGATTATCAAGATATGTGCATTGTTGATTTTTATGAATTTTTTAGTGATCGCGATACGATCGTAAGTGTTTGAACAGTGATTCAAAGTACGATGCACTTTGTTTAACACATTTTGCATGTTTTACATTTTGCAGTTTTTAAATTTTTTTAGCAGAATTTGGGATTAATTAAAATCAATAATGGCGAGGGTAAAATAATACAAATTTGTTAAACAATGATTTTATTATAAACGACACATGTAAGTTGCATTACCTCATACAGATATATTGTTACAAATATACTTGGGCGATAAATAGACATAACATAAATATATATCGTAGAAGTTTTCTTACACTGGGTTTTATTGTTTATACGTTCCATACTTTAACCCTTTCGCCGTTCAAAAACTAGGCCACTATCGAAATTTTGATGCGTGCAGTTCTCATTTTATTTATATTCTATTGTGTACTAGTCTGAAATTCAGTGACGAATTTTTTCCCTGGGAAACATATAAGATAATCAAATATTAGTAACTAAAAATTTTGTATTAATCATTATACAATTTTTGTAAACACGTCAAGTTCTGAAATAAAATTTGAATTATCGTTTTCAAAAATGTAAATGACTTTGGAGTCAATCGTAATAAAATATTTCTAATTTAACTAAAATTCGCCACTGTCAGTTTTGATTATAAAAGTACATTTTGGATATTGATTTCGTAGCGAAAGAGTTAGTCCGTTCGAAGACACGAGTGATTATAATTAATCGACTTTAGCGTAAACGGAAGAAGGCACATAGAGCATGAATTCGAAAATGTCGATTACCGTGTATTTTACATGATATCGAGAGAACATTCCCTTCTATCTATAATAAATCCGAGTCCATATTTACGAGACATTTAATTAGTTATCAGCCATGATCACTATAAAACACCAAAAAAACAGGTGATCATAAAATATATATGATACATCGTCGATTTTATTCGGTTGCAAAAATCACACTGATTACAAAATTTTTACATCATTCTACGATACTGTATTCGATTTTAGCGACCTGCCTTTCATATTCTAAATATCGATACGCTATTCACAGATTCTACAGTTTCAACCCTCGAATCGCGGAATTGGATTATGACCCTTCATATATACAACGGTTTAATTACGATCAGGCATTCCTAACTTTATAAATTAATTCCGAAAATTAAGGGAGGACAAAATAAAATATACTCAGTCGAGGGTTGAAAAGGGCAAAATAGATTTACAATTCTACAATCGTTTCAACGAAACATCGAATTTTAATACTTCAAAATTTTATAAATTTATATTGCAGTTTTTAAATGAAAGTATCCTTAAATTATATATCGTAAAAAATTATTTCGCTTATGTTACATGTTACCTATTAAGCAGCAGCACTCGAGTATCATTCTAACCCATAATCTACATTTTATATTTACATCTGTATGAACAGAAAATTCCATGCTAACAAAGATAGAAAATATCAGTTTATTAAAACGTTGTTAGATGAACAGATATCATGACTTTACATAAAGGCAGTTGTAGCGTCCATGTTGTAATCAACACTTTGACGGCCATTATTACGACGCTTCACTTTTCATCTGATATTTCACTTCTATTTACTACATCGCTTAATTTACAAGATCGAATTTTATGATACATATAATTTTTAACGTAGATCGAATTTTATAGAAGACATAACCTCTAAAATCCGATGAGTAAAATAGAAAGATCGGCCGATTTCACGAAGTGTACGGCCATCAGAGTGTCAACTGTTAATTTTTACACATGTTAATGACTAAACGCGTTGCAACACCGCAAATGTGATATACGAGAAGTGCAAGTTCGTTGATGGTCGAAACTCATGATCAACCGACAGTAAATCGGTTGTTTCTTGTACGCTCGAAACTTATAGGGACTTTTATAGGACAACGACTTCTCTAGTCTACTTTGTACATCGAAAGCATCGTGGTATTATTGTTCGTGTCTTGGGTTAATCGCCAGTACAGAAATACACGAACTTTGTACAAGTAATCGATAATAGACTTTATTGTTACGCGTGACGGTGCCATTATTACCATTCTACTTTATTTATTTATACGCTTTGGAAATCGATCACGCGTGGGGTTAATGGCTGATAAACATACATATATAACTACATGTGAATTCTTGAACCAGTGCTTTGAACATTCTTCAACACTATAAAGCATCGAAACAATTTCGGTTATGTTTCATTTTTACTCATTTTTAAAACTTTCTGAAATTGAAGCACGTAATTATTTTTAAAATCAAGATTTGTAGTAGATGTCATAATCATTTCAACCCCTGCCTTAGGATAAAATTTCAATTTTATTAAAATTTCAGATGTATCTGAGAAAAGATATTTAAAAAGTTTGGGATTTATCTTTAGGATTTAAAAATGTGATTTGTTAAAAATCATTCTAACCCCTTACATATAAGTACCTATATGAACTAGATAAAAACAAGTACCTGCCGGTATGTTCAGTGCTAATTCTATTATATTAGGTCACTAATTCATCTCTAAAGGCAAACTAAAGTTCTGAAATCAGGTTGAGTAGTCGCAAATTGCTCAAGGCATCGGTGACCATGTAAAATGTATAAGTATAAACATTTAACTAGACCATCGTGATTTTAATTTACTTTTGGCCCCTCATTTGGGTGACATAAATATTCTCTTCGTTTTTCTCCATCTCCTCTCCGTTAGGAAGACGACCAAGATCCACCTAAATCTCCAAATTGAATACACATAATTTTTAATGTTTAAAGCATTTGTGCTAGACCTTTCACTGATCGACTTTTACAAGGATCGCATAACATCCGAGACGATAAAATATTCAATTCGAACACATTTATTGTGCGCTGTTGCGGATAGTGCACGAGGAGAACGCATATTACAAATTGCAATCGCATTCACCAATTCATATCGGTATTTTAAATTGAACTTAACAGCGCCGAGTAAAACGTTCGATAATAATCTGCTAGATAAAAATGATTGTATTCACCAAAGGAAAAAAGTATCAGTCTTTTCTTTTAAATCTTCTGTCGATGCCCTACATTCTTCTAATGAATCTCTACGCTATGACGGTTATGTAATAATACCCCGTTATCGTCGCAAAATATGAACAATTAGTCGACGATTTTGCAGAAAGCGTTAATCCTCGAAACAGTGCGATGCAGCTCAAGCGTTTTTTTTTTATAGATTAATCTATGTCAGTGGTATGGGCAGGTCAAGGGCCCGAGAACTCAGGGACACCTGTGTGCACGGTATGTGCAGTGATGGAAACGGAGGTTCAAATATTTAAATCTTAGAAATTGAAAAATTTGGGGATTCGAGAATTTAGAACATTTGGACATTTAAATGTAATTTGGAGTTTAATGGTTCGGGATCTTACCGGTTTTGGAATTGGGGTGTTTTGGAAGTTGAAGGATTTGCAATTTGGGAATTTTAAAATGGAACTTGAGAATTGGAAAATTTGGAAGTTGGAGATTTGGGAATATGTTCATTTGGGGTACGTTAATTTGGGGATTTGAAAAATTGGGGCTTAAGGAATTTCAGGATCAAGGAACTGAAGGCACTTGGAAGTTGAAAGATCTGGAATTCAGCAGATTTGGACTTTTGGAAATTCGAGAATGTTGGGTTTGTGAAATTACGTATTTGTAGATTCACGTATATGTTAATTTGGGGATTTGAAAATTTGGGGTTTAAGAAAGGGAGACTCGGAAGATAAAGATTTGGGACATTTGGAACTTTGAGGATTTGTGAATTTCAAGAATTATGAACTATGAATTATCAAAAGTTATAGTGTAGGAATTCGAGAATCAAGAAACTACAGACATTATGACTTTAGTAATACAGAAATGAATCTTGATAATCTGCAAGTTTGGACATTTAAAAATCATAATCTACATGCTTAATTTAAGGATTCGACAGTACTAATGTTTTAGAAATATTTGAAGCTAAAATTGAAATAGTTTACCCATCTCAACTGCACACCCCTTGCACATGCATCTGCCCAGCATCTGCGTTCACCAAATCGAAGTCCGTTTTCCGATAGTCTGTACTTTGATCCGTTCACCATTCACTGACGTGTAATCACGTAATAAACAACCGCACAAGTTTTCACGATAAAAAAAGGAACAAGCACGAGGCTAGTCCAAGGGAACGCACGGCCGTTGGCATCGATCAAATTCACTGTAATTTTAATCGACGTTCAAAACGAGTCCTCAGCCTCGTCGGTGTCGATCAATGGCACCCTCTCGTAACGCAGCACGTTGTTAGTCCCGGGTGTCTTAAACTGCTAAAGCGCCATGCTTTTGATCTCGTTCTCGTTCATGTGACCCTGCGACGACGACGGCGTGGCCTCGACGAGTCCTTCGTCCTCGCCCTCGACCTCCTGTTTGTCGACGCAGTATCGGCAACGCATTTTCGCGTCATCGCCCACCTGCACCGATCGCGTGATAATCACGAGCGTGATCAGACTGATGACGAACAAGCCAGACGGCACGATTATGGCGATCAGCAATTCCGTACGCGTCTTATTCAGGTCGAAACGTGCCACCACGAAGAACGAGTTGTTCTGGAACAAATGATCGTTTCGATCGGTCTGGGGTTAGATAGGATACAAGGGATCAGCGGGCCGAGTAATTGGCGATGACTCGCTGATACGAGTTCTAGCGGCGGGTACAACCACGCGAGGAACAGCACGCGTGACCTGCTTCGAGAATGATAAGGCTGCGGACACGCGAAAAACATGGAAATGACGATTCGGATTGTACTTGTTGAACGATTGCATGGTATTCCACTGTGACATTGTCGACATTCTTAATCTATTGGGTGATTAGAGTTTTTTATGCGAACTTTTTACGGCGTTGCATATTAAATGGCTGTTCTGGAATAGTTAGCGTGTTAATCTGAGGGCGGTGAAAGGGTATGATCGTTTTATTAATATGAAATTGTAGGCTGTATTAGGTAATATGATTCTGTTGTTCCGGTTGTACTAAACAGGTCTTGAATGTATATTAGTATATGATATAAATATTAATATTATACTATGACGCCTGACATCAATTAATTTAACTTGACATAAAGGTATTGTCAAATATAACTTATAAAACAGATACAAAATTAAAGTTGTTAAAAATGACTACATAATTAATAACATAATCAATATTCTTACTACAAAATGGCTGACATTTAGAGAAGGTTTTATATTAAGTTGTTGTGTATTAAACAGCAAAGAAATGTATAAAAGTTTGACATCATTTGATGACATAAAAGTATTGTCAAATATTACTTGTAGAACAGACTCAAAATTAAAGTTTGATAAAAATGACTACATAATTAATAACATAATCAATATTCTTACTACAAAATGGCTGACATTTAGAGAAGGTTTTATAAGTTGTTGTGTATTAAAATGCAAAGAAATGTATAAAAGTCTGACACTATTTCATGAAAGTGTCATCAAATAACTCATGTGATGTTTCAAACTAAAGTATAAGGCTTGACAAAAATGACTACACACTTGCTTCATCAATATTCTTACTGTAAAATGGCTGACAGTGTAAGCTTTCCAGTAAAAGATAAAAGTAGATAAAAGTTGTTCCAGTCATATTAAAAATAATATGATAAAATAACGTAACAAAACAAGCTCGTAATAATACAGTAAGCTTATAGACAACTCCACATTATCATAAAAGTCACTTGAAGTGTAGAAGATATTTCAGAGCAGATAAAACGTCACATCGAGCGAAAGGACATGCAAGCAAAGATAGTGGAAAGAAATGCTTCCCAAGAAATTCAAGATCTAGGTTAACAGCGACACAAATGTTTGATGAAAAGTGAGCCCCTTTCTCATAGAATATTCTTTGTTATCTCCCTCTAATAGTTTTATATTTATCGTGACCTTTGAATAAATGGTTCGATCACATTAATGGATTTTAAATTAACTTAAACTACTTTATCAATAGATCAGACTGAAAATTAAAACAGAACTGCATTTAAAAAAAAATCTATTAAAATAAACATTTAAGAATTTTATTTAAATACAGATTTTACTCAAACACTTTAATTTTATTATGGAAATTAAAATTATAATTTTAGTACTAAATATTGAACTATCAATTTTGCATGTGAACTTTGTATCGTTCACATTTCACTAGTTGTTAAATTAATTTCAGATTTTTATCAAACATGCTAATTGTACATTTTTAGACAGACCCCTGAAATATGAATTTCTAAATGTTTCATTTGCAACATAATTTCATCATGTTCCGTTCCAATTTGTTCCACGTTACACGTCAAACACAATGCATTAGTAATTACTTTATAGTTAGCAAGCGACTAAAAGGCTTGCACCCGTTCCCCGAAGTCGTTCTCACGATGGTATCGTACGTAAAACCGAGCGTATTGAATAAAATATACGATCCCGTTTCACGAGCCTCGATTCAACATTCTACCAGTGAACCCGCGAAACGTTGCACGGCACAATTTGCCGTTTAATCGAAACCGTATCGCGCAAAGTCGAACAAGAAAAAGGGCGTAATTGAATTTCAGCTCGCTTCCACGGTCTCCGTAATTTTATTCGTGAAAATACAAGACGATCGTTACTTCTCGCGACGCTTCATTATAAAACAATCTCGCCAGAGATTCAATTAAATCAACATGAATAACCATTCACCTTGTAGCAAATTGTTTGAAAACATACTGTGTATCTATTCATCTTAGTTAATTATTTTTTAATGATTCTGATGTTTCCCTTGGGTACAGGTGTTGTATTAAATTCATTTCTGATAAATTAATACCGTGGTGAAATATGAAGGTTTTAATAGATCTTTGTATTATTATTGGTAAGATTATGGGATGGGAATTCTTGGGGTTGACAATATATTGGATAGGTTAACAAGTGTTCTTCTTATATTATGGTTTACGAAGGTTGGATCATGATGGAAGAGTGATGTGATAGGTTATAGTATTGTGATAAAATTTATAATGCGTGAAAGGTACGCTACGCGGAGATATGGAGCGTGGAGATACGACGTGGGGAGATGTAATGCATGGAGATATGGCACGTGATAGTATGGGGCGTTGAGATACAACACATAAAAATAAGGCGCGTGGAAATCACCATGCGTAAAAATACGGTGCGTGGAAATTATCACACATGGAATTACGACGTGATGAAATTACCACACGTGGAAATTATTACATATGGAATTACAATGCGTGGAAGTTACTACCCGTGGAAGTACGGTGCGTGGAAATCACGTCGCGTGAAAATACGGTGCGTGGAAATTATCATATATGGAATTCCGACGCGTGGAAATTACTACCCGTGAAAGTACGGTACGTAGAAATGACTACGCGTGAAAATAGGGTGCGTGGAAATTATCACATATGGAATTACGACGCGTGGAGATTTCCGCACGTGGAAATACGATGCACGGAAATCACCACGCGTGGAAATTACCACGCATGGAATTACGGCACGTAGAAGTACGACGTGTGGAAATTACAATTCGTCGAAATTACGATGCATAGAAACTTTAACACGTGAAAATTAATATGCGTGGAAAATCGACGCGTAGAATTACAGTGCGTGGAATTATGGGACGTATAATAACAATGCGTGGAATTACAAAGCGTGGAATCATGGTGTGTAGAATTACAATGCGTGGAATTACAGTGTATGAATCCCTGTCGTGCCATCATTTCCTCCTAATTTCCAAAAATTCCCAATCCAAGAATAACCCAACAAATTCGAAAAAATGAATTTGCTGTACCACTGGGAAATCAAGCAGATAGATTTCGAATGCTCGGATTAAAACCGTGTCAAATTAACCAGTTGAGTGCGTTCGACGTGTATACACGTCAGGCCAAATCTCTACTGCGGTGCGTTTGACGTGTATACTCGTCGTGTAAAATAAAAAATTACCATTCACTATAAAAACTCGAAATCGCAATAAAATGTAATAAGAATATTATTTGGTGGTATGTTCCCTTTACATTACCAATACGACCGCTACGTATTAAGTCTACCGGAAAGTTCTGTCCGTTTTATAATGGTAAGGTTAATTCTAAAAACGGACAGAACTTTCCGGTAGACCTAATATTTCATATGAATTGGGGCTCGCGTATCAAAACTAATTACATACCTAACCCGCGACTTGGACTGCCAGCGTTGAGTTGCGGAGAAACTGCGTCAGCAGTTAGCAGGGCCAATAATGGCACGTTGCTTTGTGAGGTAAAGTCTTATACATTTTTATACAAGACTTGTTTATGTATAGTATTATTTCTTGACAATTTTCAAGCTTTTAATAAGAATAACGTACTCAGAAACGAATTGTTAGTTTTTTTGACGAATAAAAATGTAATCCTTCCTGGTTTTTCGTAAAATGTATAATAGTACCATTTGCCCTGCGTTCGATTCACCAATTTCGGTCTTTCACCGTGACATATACACGTCGTTCCTTGTTTTTAATTCCGCACCCTGTGGTGACCTTTTGAAACTAAATTCCACCGTCAACTGGTTAAATGGAGCAACAGATAGGTAATACCTTCATTCGTATGCTTCAGTCGTTCAAAGACGCGATATTTTTTCCTATTTCACTTAAATTCGACACGTGGAGTAATTGCGTGTTGAAAGTTTAATTTGAAAGCGATCCTTTCCGGTTCTCTAGTAAGTCTTGCGTAATGAAATTTCTTTTCCTTGAGGTTTTACCGCGATCGATTGGTCCGTTGATTCGACTGAAACCCCAATGAAATGAAACGTGTCGAATCGAATTAAAAATTCGATTGTAAAGGGATGGAAACACGTTATATTTTTTTAATGAAAGTGTTTCGCAGTCCCCTACGTTTGCTGCTTTCTTTTGCAAAGCATCGTGTTTTATGTAGAATAGGATTTGCTCTTCGAAGACAGAACGCTGCAGTAACAGGAAAACTCGTTTCCCGTTTGCTTAATAAAAGTTTGAACGATTCAGGAATAGGATTCTACTTCATTGAATCGGGAAGCTCGAGAAGTTTATTAAAACGTTTCGATTGAATTTTATTCTCTTTTTAAAATACTGTGCAATCTGTATATCTTGTCAAACGGAACTGCATATTTTATTATCATGGAAATTATCGGAAATATTTCTTGCCCTTTCTAGCAATAACAATTTTTTACTCATAAGACTGCAGTTTTTTTTTATCGAACTTTAATACATTTGTAATGTACTATTCACTTTGAAGGGTAGACAAATTTTTTAATAAAATTTTAAAACTCAAGCAATAAAGGATTTAAAATATACAAGTTTGCATATCATTCATTACAAATTGTAACGAAATTAATCATGTATAGAAATAAAAATTGTGACAAAATTAATTGTGTATAGAAATAAAAATTTTGACAAAATTAATTGTGTATAGAAATAAAAATTTTGACAAAATTAATCGTGCACATGAATAAAAAATTTAACAATATTGATCTTGCATGTAAGTAAAAATGTTAACAAAATTGATCTTGCATGTAAATAAAAATTTTAACAAAATTGATCTTGCATATAAATAAAAATTTTAGCAAAATCAATCGTGTAAGTAAATAAAAATTGTAACAAAGTTGATTGTGAAAGTAAATAAAAATAGTGACAAAATTAATCGTGTGTTTAAATAAAAGTGACAAAAGCACTTTTCTACGTACCTTGTTGTAGTAGCATGGGTATCTGCTTTGCGCCGTCTGGTTGTCGCCGTCATGACCATAACTGACAAGAAAATCTTTACATTCCCCTTTCAACGTGTTGACGCATCCTTCCAAGTTGATGTATAACCGGGAATTATTGTAAATTGTGAGGGATCGTTGCGCCGGCACGTAGGCGTTCGTCGGATCCAATGGGTATTGCAAGCTCTTCTCGTATATATTCAGAAAGCTCGTAAAGTTGATGTACGGTTGAGGCACCGAGATTTCCCTTAACAAGGTGCCGTTCACGCAATCCTCCGTCCTGCCAAGCAGAATTCGAAACACAATTTATAAAAGGCATTCACTTTATCCCCTTCGTATTCCATACAAATCCTTCCGACAATGAATATCTTCCCATTTCATTATCTTCAAACTTAATTCTTCAAAGAGGAATTTTATCAAGTTTGCTAAATTAACGCTTTGCATTTAACCTCTCAGGAGCACCCATACAACTGAAGTTAGCACGTACATATTTCAAAAGTTAGGTTAGGAAGCTCGAGATTTTGTATCCACAGAAAAACACTGATATGTATTGTGATTTATGATAAGTGTCACATCTACTGTACCTATTTTTATATCCATTAAAAAATATATTTTTTCCGGCAGCAATCATAAATAAAAATCCTAAACTAACCTTAAAAATATCGAGGTTTAACCCTTTAGGAATTTGATTCTTTCATCTCGAATTTTATTTACAGAAACCTAAGGAACTAAGCCTGATACGAAGTACTAAAAATAAATTAGATGAAACAAATACATCCTCGTAAAAACCATAACTTTATAACTTCGTGGACATTATAGGTTGGCTTCCCCTTTGTCTCTAAGCTGGTTAGTCGTTACCAGTGAACATTCCATGTTCAAGATTGTGTTTCGTGCTCGAAACGAGCGGTTATCTAGGGTCACGATATTTTCCTCAAAAAGGCCGTATCTTTTACGACCAAGTTTCCTTTCGTAAACACATTTCCAGCGAAAGTTTGTTTCCCTCCTCGCGAATATAGAGGCAAGAAAACGAGCACGTTTCATTGATCTGTTCTGCAAAAGACTTTTGCCCGACAAGATGTGTTCGTCGACCATTCTTTTTCTGCTGATAAAGGGACAGAAGAGAACGAGGTATCGAAATAAAGGAAACGCGTTGGAGAACGCACGAGCAAGAAAAACTGAGGAGTTAGGGTGCGCGGATCGAGGAGAGCCACAGGATCAATGGTTGCCATGGAAATACCCTTATCTAGACCCTAAGAAGGAGAATATACGAAGGAATATCGCGTGTCTGTGATAAAAAGTAATTGATACCGAAGGGAAAAAACGGAAGTAACTCGTCGAAAAGTTGGACAAAGGAATTCCGTTCGGGACGAGACTGGGAACTCGATTGGAAATTTCACGCTTATTAATTCGGTACAAATCGGTTGCAAAAGCTGCGGGATGTCTATTGATGCAAATTGGTGCGTGAACGGATTCGATTGTCGACAAACTGGGTATCTTGAATAGCAATTGTGCGGCGCAAGCTGTAGCGCCGGGGGTGCTTGAGCGTATCGCTGTTAACCCTTTAATCCCCCAAGATTTATTTGGGGGATTTTCGAGATTAGTGGTTGATGGTTTTGGGATTTGGAGGTTTTTGGAATTGAGGATTTGCAAATTTTGGAATTTGGGTATTTGGAGATTTAGGAATTTGGGGATTGGGAGATATGAAGATCTGAGAATTTGGGAATTTGGGTATTTGGAGATTTGGAGATTTAGGAATTTGGGGACATGGAGATCTGAGAATTTGGGAATTTGGAGATTTAGAAATTTGGGATATGGAGATCTGAGAATTTGAAAATTTGGCAATTTAGGAATTTGACCATTGAGAAATTTGTGGAATTAGGAATTTGGCGGAGTTAGGAATTTAAGAATTTGGGAAAAAATAAAAATATGAAAATTAAAAATATTAAAAACATAAAAATTCATAACTGTGAAATTTTCCAAAATTGCCCCAAATATTCCTATAACTCTAACACAACGACCACCTAGAACAACGGAACAAACTGCCTCCAAAAAGTAAGTACTCGATGAACAAAGAGCATCCCCTCCTCCAGTCGCTTTAGAGATCCATTGTGATTGCCCTTTACATCGAAGTTCACTCTTACGTAAGTCGAAGAATCGTGTAGAAAAGAAGAAAATACGAGGGCAGACCAAAGATAGTCGGCCCATTTACCGTCAGAAACGTTGACCTCTGCGTGACCAAGCGCATCGAACTCTCATCCCTCCTCTAGTCGAATCGTTCTAGATGCTCGACACTGAACCCATTTAGGACCTAATACAGGACTTAATACCGACAAACTTTGCTGTTTGCTGTTTGGTATCTTAATTACGTCACCAGACATTGAGTGACAACATACCAAAATAAGGCGCGTAGATATTATCACACGTGAAAATACGGTGCGTGGAAGTTACCAAGCATGGAATTACGATGCGTGGAAATTACTACCTGTGGAAATCACCACGTGTGAAAATACGGTGCGTGGAAATTATCATAAGTGGAATTAGGATGCGTGGAAGTTACTGTGAAAGTAGGGTGCTTAGGAATCACCACGTGTGGAAATACCGTGCGTGGAAATTATCACATGTGGAATTACGACGCGTGGAAATATGATGCATGGAAGTCACCATGTGTGGAAATAGGGTGCGTGGAAATTATCACGTATGGAATTGCGACGTGTGGAAATTACCACACTTAGAAATGTGATGCGTGGAAATCACCACATGTGGAAATAGGGTGCGTGGAAATTATCACATATGGAATTACAACGCGTGGAAATTACCACATGTGGAAATACTGTGCGTGGAAATTACCATGCATGGAATTACAACGCGTGGAAATTACCACACGTGGAAATACGGTGCGTGGAAGTCACTGCGCGTAAAAATACGATGCGTGGAAATTATCACATATGGAATTACGGCGCGTAGAAATTATCATACGTGGAATTAGGACGCGTGGAAATCACCACCCCTGAAAATACGGTGCGTGGAAATTATCACGTATGGAATTGTGACGCGTGGAAGTTACCACACGTGGAAATTCGATGCGTGGAATCACCACGTATGGAAATATGATGTGTGAAAATTACCATGCATGGAATCACGGCGCGTAGAAGTACGACCAAGCGCATCGAACTCTCATTCCTCCTCTAGTCGAATCGTTCTAGATGCTCGACACTGAACCCATTCAGGACCTAATAATACAGACAAACATTGCTGTTTGCTGTTTGGTATCTTAATTACGTCACCAGACACTGAGTCTACTCGAAGGTGTTACGAGCCACCTACTCAATTTGCATTCGCTATCTTGCTTGCCTGGGATTGACGTCATTAATGGATATCGACTGAACGATTAGAACGGTGTTATATAATCATTCAGTTATTTCGAATTGGAATTATACGTTTATTTATCACTTTGTGATTATTTGATTAAGATTTAATTGGATTTAATAGGAACCTCAAGTTCTCATGATATAACTCCCTTGAATTAATTTCATAGGAAATCTCTGTTATGACGGTGATTACTAAAGTTTTTATTGGGAAATTGACGGTGGTGTAACTGATAAGTAGATAAGTTGTATATAAAATGTGAGTTTATGGAAAAGGGATGAAGATTTAACTCGAGGACATTACTAAAATTTTTATACAGGAAAAGCGACGGTAATGGGACTAAGGATGAATAATGAACACAGAACGTGAGGTGAAAAGAATGGATTAGCATGAACAAGGGCTGAAGACGTAATTGGGGTACATTCCTGAAATTTTGAGGGTGAGAAGTGACGTAACGGGACCAAGGGTAAATAATGTAGATAGGGGATGTGAGGTGAATGGAATAAATAAATATGAAAAAAGGGAGTTAAGAGGTAGATGAGCGCGGGGGAGGGGTAGATTAGTATGAAAGACGTGTAGGCGCTACTGGGTTATATCGCTAAAATTTTTATGAAGAAGTGGCTGTGATGGGATTATGGGTAAATAGATAGGGACGTGAAAAAGGGTAGATTGGTCTGAAGAGGGGGTGAAGATGAAACAGGGGGTGACTAGATAGGTATGTAATGGGTGATGGAGTAAATAGGAGGTGGAGGTGCAAATAAAGGATAGAGAGGTAATTTGGATTACTAAAATTTTTATGAGAAAATTAATAGGAAGAAGCTTAAGGAGAATGGTAAACATGACATGAAAAATGAAGGGAAATTTCAAGTTTCATAAGATGTTACGTGATGTATTGTAACAAACAACGATGACGTAACGCGAGGTATATAATATGAATTGTATAAACAGGGGTCCAATTGTGGGGCTAAATTTAAGTACAAAGGAAAAATAAAAATAAGAGATGCAAGAAATATAAATTATAACATTTTATGGTACATTGAATTATATTATCAATTAAAACAGTGTCTTATTACTTATTGTTAATAAAAAAAGCTACACACGATAATCGTGGTTATTTCCACAGTAGGCTAAATCCAATCAAACGAAAATTCAAAATCCATTCAGATTAAAATTAATGTATGTACAATTAGCTTACCAAGACCCAAATTCAGTGGCTACCCTTATTTTCATAATAATAATCAATAAAAAAGACCACGCGTCATAGCGATCAAACCCATACTGAAAGTATTAAATAAAATCCGATCTAACCTAATCCACTCTATCTGTGTTCCACAATACTAATTCACTTGTTACCTTTTTCATATCTCTCTATTTCATGTAGCATACAATTCCCCATAAAAGTGCAAATTATCGAAAAAATTACTCAGACAACCTTCATCTGCTATTTCCCCTCACAAAAAATGCAAAACCATTGTACTGAAAATACTAATTAAATCTCGAGTTCAGCAAAGGTTACTGAAGATGTAATTCCGTTCAATTAACTATTGATTCATGATCAAAGTTTACCTTATGGCGTCCTTTTCATTGCTGACAGCCATGCAGCTAGCGACAAGACTTCCATTTTGATCGTCCCAGATTTTCACAGGCGTGGTTAGCCTGGTGCCAGGCAAATTTCCATTAGCTCGGTTCAGAGCTAGGCCTCGTTCGCATTTCGCTGCGATGACGTTGTCGTCCTGCATGAGGAATATGTTCACGTCGAATGTGCTGATGTTTGGACAATAACGATCGCAGCTGAAGGGATCCTTGATTTTCGTGCATCTGGAATTCTGACAGCTGAAGAAGCCGTTCAGTTTCATGTTGTCCTTCTCGCTGTCCACCACGATGCCGTCGGCTTTGTAGTGACATAACATCAGCTCGCTTATGTTCGAACAGTGGCCAAGGCTGCAGTTAAACACCCCTGAGAGTACACTGCACTCGCTGCCATTGTTGCAATTGTATCTTTTTACGGAAGCCATGTTCACCTACGGAACAGAGCAAGTTTGTTTTGAATATGAGGATGAGTATGACAGATATTGGAGTTGGCACTTTTAGGTGGATTTGAGGTTTTTTGGTAGACGAGGATGTATGTGTAAGATGTGGTCTACACTACACATTGGAACTTTCACAATCAAGTTATACAAGTTTGTACTTCTGTGAATGAGGTGCTATGTGTAGGCTGAAATTATAGCCTACCAACCCACTTTTCAAGTCTTGGAATTTGATAATTTTTGTTGAGTGTAATTTAGGAATTTGGATAGTAGGAAGTTTGGGAAATTGAATATTTGAAAATTTGTGAAGTTGAAATATTTGAGAATTTGGCAATTTGACAATTTTGAGAATATAAGAAATTTTAAAGCTTGTAAAGTTAAAGATTTAGAAATGCCAGAATTAAGAAATTGGGGAACTTGAAAACCTGAGAATTTGAACGTTTGAAACTTGCTTAAAAATTTAAAAACTTGCAATTTTGACAATAGCAGAAATTTGGGAAGCTTGAAAATTCGAAAAATTGATACATTGTATTGATTATTAATTTTGAAAGCGCAACAGTCACTATCGAATATGATTCTAATATTTTAAGTGGAATATGTCAACCATATGTCGGACCAATACACTATTACATATGTTCCCACCTACAATTGAAACTTATACCTACAGTATCACTTTTAAAACACTAGTTATTAGCTTATATTTATAACTTTCTACGCTCAACACTCACAGTAAAAATAGCAATAAAATATTCATGAATTCTAAGTAGAAAATATCAGGCATATTCCTAACATTCGACCTCCTGATTCGTTTCTCCTGAAATTTCTGCAGATTCACCCTGTTATCGATCTTGAAGGTCTAACAGTCATTAATAATGCTCCCCATAATCTTTGTAGACGTTCACATATTCATTACATAAAAATTCATTATAATCCACCGCTATACCTAAACCTTCATTAGACTCCGTTAACTAAACCCTGTTTCAATTATTCTTAAAAACTGAATGATTATTCTAACAGTAATTCAGATTTTATCAAATTTGTATTTTATCAAGAACTACAAATATTTCTTACATTCAACGCATAATTTTTGCTAAGGGACCATATAATAATATTAAAGAGACCATATAAAACAAACCGGGTTCGCTTTGTAAAGAACAATGTACTTATACAGTAATAATCGATCCTGTGAATCACGGAAAACTTAAAATTATAATGCGTGGCATACATGATCGATAAGAGGTGTGGCAGAGCAGGACACGTGCCATTAGAAAGTTATTCAAGACGACGAACCCGATCGGAAGCGTTACATAGTAGTGAACGAGGTTAGGGCATCAAAGTAACCGGTGTCAGGCTATTTTCATTACATTAATATAACTCGATAATATCGTTTCACATGGACTTGAACACAGAAACTTCCGTCGAAAAACCGTGGTACACGACAACTTTCACACGTGTTCGAGCGACATTAAGTAATTGCATTTCACGTGGACGCATTTATTAACCTTAAGGGAGTCATCTCCGTTAACGACGAATTCTGTATTTCATTTCGTTAAAAGATCTAGGTTTCGAAAACGAGGTCTTTAAGTTTATTAAAAGTCTCTTCATTAAAACTGTTATGATGTTAAACAAGGTCTGGTTAATTAAAAATAAGATAAATAGAATCGTTATACCCTCATGATTCGTGATGTACCCTCATTACATTAAGCTTTATTGTGAAAGCACTTCTCACGTAAAATCTATCAAATCTTTCTAAGCAAACTCTTTTCAACGGTAGATGGAAATTCTGCGACAGTATCGCGTTAAAATGAACGTCCACTGTACTCTTTTCCTTCCTCTTTGGATCCTTTTCCTCGCTAACCGGATTTTTCCCCGGTTAATTCCGTTAAAGCAACGTTCGTTGAACTACCTGTAGCTGGGCTAATTAAAAACGCAGTCCGGCGTACTCTTTTGAACTCGACCCGATCGATGAACCTGTCTTTTTTCTATCTGGGAACCACGCACGGGAACTCGGGAGAAATGATGTACCGGAACGGTCATCGATCACGAGAATATAAATTGCTTTTCGCGGTGGACTGATCGAACTATGAAGTTGAAGTGGCATCAAAATCGGCCTTAAGATGTACGTAGCGGTCTAGGGGAGGTGAGATATGAGATATGGAGATGTGGAGATCGGAATTTGGTTATGGGAAGAAAGGTATTAGGAATCGGAAGATACAGTTGGGAGAATTAGGGAATTGGAATGTATAGAAAACTTGAGTAGAAATTTAGGAATGTAGGAATTTAGAAACCTGAGCATTTAGAGATTTAGGTATCTGACGTTCTACGAATATATGGATATTAATACATTAAGGAATCTAGGAGTATGGATATCAAGGGTTACAGGAATTGAGAGTATAGGGATTAGAAATGATAGGCACTGACACATATAGGAACTGGAAGACATAGGAATCTAGGGATATAGCAAGCTGTGGACATAGGAATCTAGGAATATAGGAATTTAGGGATTAAGGAATCTAGGAGTATGGATATCAAGGGTTACAGGAATTTAGAGTATAGGGATTAGAAATGATAGGCATTGACACATATAGCAATTGGAAGACATAGGAATTTAGGAATATAGCAAGCTGTGGACATAGGAATCTAGGAACATAGGAATTTAGGGATATAGGGGTTGGGACACATAGAGATGTGGAGAGGTTGAGATCTAGGAATGTAGAAATTTGGGAATATAGGGATCTGGAAATGCGGGTGGCGGTGGATATAGGAATCTAGGGATATAGGAAGCTGTGGATATAGGAATCTAGGGATGTAGAAATCTAAGGAGTTAGAGATCAGGGAATATAGGAATTTAGCGATATAGGGATTGGGACACATAGAAATGTGGAGAAATAGAGATCTGGGGATGTAAGGATTTGTGAATATAAGAATCTAGGAGTACAGAAACCTAAGGATACAAGAATCTAAGAATATAGGAATTGAGAAATGTAGGGATCGAAGCATATAGAGATGTGGACATATGAGACACCCTAGTTGCGAGACGCCCTGTAGGATCAAGTAACATCAAGAACTATTGTAGATACCTATATGGGAATCTGATATAAAACTCAAATATAGAGATATAGTAACATATGAAACTAGAGGTGTGGAAACCTATGTAGGAATCTTGGAATACAGATTCATAGTTTAGATCACCCGTTAGATAAAATATTAAATCACCACATGTTGCCTCACATTATACCATCGCAAATTGCATCTCGTATAATAACAAATTGCACAAGATGTATAAAGTCCAACTAACGAAAATAAATTCAAATAAGTCCAACTAACTTTCAAAATAAATATACCTAAATTAAGTATCGTTTTACCCGAAAAATCTGGCACAAACAGTTCCCCAAAGCGGTAATGGAAAATGTTTGTCCGCGGTGAAGCCTGTTACGATTATCACTTAACAACTTCCCGCTGATCCGAGAACTTTATTTTTCTGCATGCTCCCTCGGGAGGTACAGTTTCGAGGCTGTTCGGATCATTTTATCCAGTTCTGCATCTCCCGCGGGAACGAAACGGTACACCGTCGATTCCGGAAAACTATTTTGCTGTCTGGGGCATTACTCTCGTAGCAGGGTTTCCGGATATATTATACGCCGGTGGTCGCTTATTTTTATGACGGGAAAACCGATATCGTCCGCGTGAAAAATTCACAGAACATCCAGTGATACTCGCCGGAAAATTCGTGTCCTAAGCGGCATGAAATACGTTTTGCCGACTGAATTTTTCGAGGATTAAAAAAATTTATTATTGCCCGCCTTAACGGCTTACCAACGCAAATAACATTAATCTGACAGGAAAAGAATTCGTGTTCTTTTAAATTGAGTTAAATCAGAGATGGAATAATGGAAATGTAAACTGTTGAATATTTATGTTATCATAAACCGAACATACCTGAGGGCAGGCGATGCTGTTGAATTTAGTGCAATTTTCAAAAACAATGTTAGTGCCGTTTCTTCTCACGGTTGCTTGTATCTGCGGACAAAATCCCGTGGTTCTCGTCAAACACCACTCCCCGCAGCTCGCCCAGCCACAATTAGTGGCTAAGGTGGTATCAATGGTTTGGCACATGACTGGATCTGGATCGATTCCCGCGTGGAAGGCCCTAGAAATTAATTGCACCGGCTTCATTAATATTTCTCCGAGCGTGGTTTGAATATCGCATGATGGGACGCGGTGCTTGCTACGTTCGATGGATTTGTTGATTCTGGATTCGTCTGGCGGTGTTACGTTAAATAATTAAACCGATATCTTGGGAAATGGGACCATAGAACTGTATTACTATGTATGTATGTAGATTTCATGTACGTCTATATTATTCAATTATATTGCAATTTTCTCACTCTGTTATTTTTCTGTTATATTATTAGGTTCCACTAATTCCTAGTTCACTATGACTAATTCACTCTGACTAATTCACTATACTACTATTCTACTACATTTTTCCACTACTATTCAATTAGTTCACTTTTGCAGTATTCCACTTACTGTGTTATGTAACTATGTTAGTATTTCAGTTCACTACTATTCAATTATTGCACTATATTACTGTATTACACTGCAACAATTTTACAATGCTATTAATTCGATTATATAGCTATACTACTGTTTTATTAATTATAGAGTGCATAGTTGTACCGCTACTTCGCTCTTCCACATTTTTATAATATTACTATAGTAGTATTCCACAATTTCACTATTTCATTGTAGAACTATAGTGCCTTACTATTTTACTATTTTACTTTTGCATTGTCGTTTTACTATACTGGTCTACTGCTATACTGTTCTGTTACTATACTACTATACTATTATACCACTGCTCCGCTATACTACTATACTACTACACTACTATACCACTATACTGCTATACTACTATACTACTATACTACTATACTATTATACTACTATACTACTATACTACTATACTACTATACTACTATACTACTATACTACTATACTACTATACTACTATACTACCATACTACTATACTACTATACTGCTATACTGCTATACTGCTATACTGCTATACTGCTATACTGCTATACTGCTATACTACTATACTACTATACTACTATACTACTATACTACGATTTTATTGTATCACTATATTATTGTAGTGGGACATTAGAATAGTGATTCATGACAATATTAAAATAACAAAAGTAGTGAAGTAGCAGAACATTAATAATAGTAAAGAAGTGAAACGAGGAAATGTTCATTATATAAAACTGATGTCTGTTCATACGAGATCCTTAATCTCGCGCAGTTCTAACTGTAAAAAATTAATAATAAAATAACCATTAAAAATTTCAGAGTGAAAATTTATTGGCAGCGATACGTCCGCGTTAATTGATACAGCGATCGATTTACGGCAGAATAAAAATGTAATCATTTATGATTCGACAGAGATGAAAAGTGCAAGGGTAAGGCTAAAGTCAGAGTCATGTAGCAAGTTATAGATCTCCGAGGATATTAAGGTCGGACGAGTGGTAACTTAATTACTATCGGCCTTGGTCAATTAATCGATGCAGCCTTGTCGTTTACCTGTGGGACGGCATGTAGATTGCCACGCTCAGATAAACCAACGCGACGCAGCTGATGACAATAGTGAACTGACAGAAGCAGATACTGCCGCATATCCTGCGATCCTGTTCCGGTATCAGGCGACGTTTGTGCTTCCGTCCCATCGCGAGTATTTTAATCGGGTATCCCCTCGTCCTGCTTTTCCCCCTTCTGGAAACCTCGGCTACTCCGCAGTAATTTCTGAACGGATTAATCTAAATCGTTTCTCATCAAGCCGAGGACTCCTTTCAGACACGACGCTTCCTCTCGGGTCACTCGCTTCGAATCGCTCAATCTCGCCGCGAACAAACTCTATTTGTCATCGGAGCATATTTTATTACAGCTCAACGAAGCAGACTGCATTCACGGATCCACTTTCCTCAAAAACGACCCGATAACGCGCTTCCCATCCAACTTGAATCGAACCTCTGTAAATAAGTTTCCTTCTTAATGCCGCTTCCAACGTTCACGGGAATTGATTGCTCTCCAACCATTTATTTCCAGCAATCTCGATTTAGTATGTTATTTATCTCTGTTACTACACATATTGAATCTGTCCAAGAACTACATTTTATTAAACAGGTCTGTAAATACGTCGAATAATTTCAAGAATTTATCATTGTTTTCTTTCGTGCATACTTAATACGGTTTATCTTCTAGTAAATTTTACGATAAAATTCAATCTTTCAACAGTTTGTGTATTGAGGTTAAATGAGAAAAAAAAGTAGAAAATAAAATATTAAAATTTGATTAGCCTCATTCCTTCCTAATTTGGTACTCGAACAATTTGGTACTTGCTCGGTAATTTTCGTTTCACTCCAAGACATGAATAGGGGAAAATTTTCTAAGGATATAATTCATTTTGTGGCCCCAGCGGGTATGAATTATTTTCCAAGAAAGTTGAGGCATCGTTGAATTTTACAAACTCGAGCACGCTTCACAACAGGTGTCTCGGTCATAATGTTCTCGTTGCCAACTAGCTGTCGTGTTTCATCGATTTGACAGTTTCTCGAACTAGAAAACTTCCACGTACGTATTTAAATTCCTAAGAACTATACACGCGTACTCGGAATTGTTCTCCAACAAAATATTCTTCAATGGAACGACGTCCTTCGGTATCGACGTTTTCAAGGTCCACCTCTCGAGAGGAAAAAAAAAAGAAAGTATTTTGCCCTTGATTAAGAAATATCATCTGGACTGCAAAAGGTCACGTGGAACATTGATTTTCCGGTTATGTAAGGTGGTTGATTTTACATAAGCATCGAAGGGTGACACGCGATCGAAACCCGATCGTACGCGTTTAATATAGTCGATAAAAATCGAGCGATGAAAATGGAACGTTTAGGGGTTGCTGGGTGAATACGGACTGGAAAACAGAGGCTGGGAGTTGGGGGGTTTGGAGATTGGAATTTTGAAGCACTGGAATTTTTTTGGTTTGGGATTTTGGGATTTGAGGATTTGGGGGTTTGAGAATTTTGGGATTTTGTGATCTTGGGATTTTCGGATTTTGAGGATTTGAGGATTTGAAAATTTTGGGATTTGAGGATTTTGGGATTTGAGGATTTTGGGATTTTGGGATTTGAGGATTTGGGGATTTGGGGATTTGGGGATTTGGGGATTTGAGGATTTGGGGATTTGAGGATTTTGGAATTTGAGAATTTTGGGATTTGAGTATTTGGGAATTTGAGAATTCGAGGATTTGAGGATTCGGGGATTTGAGAATTTGGAGATTTGAGAATTTTGGGATTTGAGAACTTCGGAATTTGAGAATTTTGGGATTTGAAGATTTCAGGGTCGTAGGATTTTAGGATTATAGGATTCTAAGGTCATCGATTTTCAGGATTTTAAGATTATAGAATCATATGATTTTAAGAACATAGCACTTTAGAATTATAGGATTTTGGGATTTCAGGATTTCAGGATTTCGGGATTTTAAGATTTCAGAATTTCAAGAATAGACTTTAGGATTTTAGTAAATTTCAAAATTTTTAAATATTTAAATTAATCTAGCGTTTTTAAATTTTTAGCATTTTGAAAATTGTACTACAGGTCTTTAGAATTTTGGGAATTTAAGGCCTCAGGATTTTTCAAATTAACAATTTTGTAATTCCGGTGCCATGGAACTTTGGAATCTTGGGAATTTAAAGTTTTCAAGTTTGGAGATTCAGAAATTGAAAATTTATAAAGTTAATTTTCCAGCTTGGGAACGACAAGAAGGAACTTGGAAGTTTGATATTTGTTGACTTGAAGTTTAAAATTTAAGGCTTGAAAATTTGGGATTTGAATATTTGGTATTTTAGAATGTTTAGAAGTTTGAGTTTTTCTAAGACAATATTTGAATGTATCATAAAAAATAACAATCTTTATAAGTTTTAACGAATTTTTATGCAAAACAAACGAAGTCCCAAATTAAGTCCTTACCAATTCAATTTGATTATATTCTATTGAATTTTAATATATTACAAAAGCTTTTACAATTAATACAAGAACTTGAAATCAAATAGCGATTACTACCTCAACTATCGAATATTAATTACTCTCCACCTACTAATTAAAGTAATCGATGTAAGAACAATGTAATCTTAATAGAACTAATTATCCCAATAATTAAAAACAGCTCTTCAAGAAATCCCGCTCTCGTGACTTTTCAGACACCTTGACTCATCACTTCGTAGAATCTCGCTGTTAAAGAATTCTCAAAATCGATTAGCGTTCCCAGAATTCTAAGGATGCCAATTCATCATCTGAACGTCAAGAATAAAACGTGTCTATTTGATCAAACGTCGCGGTCTCCGTCCAACATTCATTATGTAGATCGTTACCGATTATCGATCGCTCAATCTAGTATCTAGTCGACATTTTTTCGTCCCTTTTCATCGACTTTTTCATTCGGTACACGCCATTCGCGTATCAACGTTAATGCACTTGAGGCAATTACCTGGTTTTAACTTCATTAGACGCAGCGCCAGTGTAAACAGGTGCACTTCGCCGGATGATGTGCAATTAGATACTCGTAATCCTATTACAACGCGAGGGGCGATCGCTTAACGGCCATTCGAAAATAATACCTATCGATTCAGGGAAACTTTCTAGCCTCTGGTAAACGCGGCCGTTAGAGGGTTTCCTGAAACTTCTCGCGACGGAGACGATCTAATGGTCTTTAAGTCGACATCAAAGGAAATACTAGGAGAGAACGAGGCTATTTTCGTGCTCGATAATTGTAGTGCACCGTCGACTATCTAAAGCAACAATGTTTTCCTGCAGGCATTCTATGAACTGGTTCGTTTCTTTGAACCTCGAAAGTTTCGCGATGGGTATAGATTTCACAGTTGCGTATATATTCGTAAAATTGTCGGACTCACTTTTAACCTTTTTCGCAATTAAAATTTAAATATGCTTTGCTTAAGATTGAGACAATTTTCGGTTAATATTTCATAACTCATGATAATTTTCATGACGATTTTTATGATAGTTTTGACATTTGATATTTAAGGATAATTTTGAAAATAATTTTATTCTAGTTTAGATAAATTCTATGAAATTTTATGGTAATTTTCATGATAATTTTTATGATAGCTTTGATATTTGATATTTAATGATAATTTTTATGATAGTTTTGATATTTGATATTTAATGATAATTTTCAAGATCATTTTCGTTGTAGCTTAACTTAATTTCCATGAAAATTTGATGATAAGTTTCATAAATATTTTTGTGATAGTTCTGACATTTGATATTTAGTGACAATTTTTATGATCATTTTTGTTGTAGTTTAGATATTAATTTCTATGAAAATTTGACGATAATTTTCATTACAATTTGAGTATAATTATAATGATATTTTATATTACATTAGTAATTTGTTTTAATTATAATAATTTATATGGTAGCTTAACTTTAAAATTTGTGTAATTTTGCTATTTCGTACAATTCTTAAATTTTGTGACAGACATTGGTTTGTACTAGTAAATTCGATAAAATAATTTAATAACAAAATTGTTCAAGAAATGAGTAAATTGAAGAAGTGCAAGAGTTCAAGAGAACTGCAGAAAGTGCAAAAACTAACATAATTTTTAATTGCACCAATAACATAGATACATCTTATTAATTAATAATTATATTATTAATAAATTACATTGTTTTGCAATTTTTTTTCTAAATATTAAAAAATTTGTGGGTTTGACCATTAATCTTAATTTCACTAAAGAATGAATGCATTTAACGACCAATGTCTCGTTAAGTGATCACTCGATAAGTGATCACTCTATAAGTGATCGAAGATTATAGTTCTGTGTTGTATTACTAAACCCAAGTATAATCCTAATACAGCGTAAAACACTTAATCTAAACTCATAATGACAAAAATCTCGTCAACAAATAATTAACATAACACAAAATCTAGCAATAATTATTATTCTTTGAAAACTGCCCAGCAGCTTATCGATAAAAATTTTGATATTGACACGTGCACGTAAGAAAGTTTTCAAACTTCATAAAACAAAGTAAGTTTCCAATAACTCTTCAAATTTTAAAGAAGTTAAAAAATGTAACGATGTTATAAGATAAAAATTTCCAATTTGAAAAATTGTAAACACTTACCAAGAAACGCATTCGCGCCACGATCGACATCTTTTACCTTCAAGACTATCGCGCGTCCTATTAAATGTCACCGGTATCGAGAACGGTCAGCGTGTTAAATATCACTCTTTTACTGCTTGAAAAGATCAAATTTCACTCTGTACTCACGTTCAGTTTTATTTAAAATTGTACCAAAGTATTCGATCACAGATCATCGATCACTGAAAAAATCCTACATTCCAATAATAGTTCCACTCGACTATGAAACATCGTTCACAAAAGATGCACACAATTCACAATTTCGAGTTTTCAAATCTTACAATGTGACAGTGATTCGTAGCACAAAATTATCGAAGCGCAATTAATTAGTCACGTTGTTTGCGTTCTCATTTCCATCCATGTTTCCCGATGTCATTGCTATCCGCGGTGCGTTGACATCGAGGAGAGAAAGAAAATCGCTCGCCAGAGTTTGAACGACGTCTGACGACGAAGCACCCACGCAATCCGGACGACTGTTTGAAAACAAGGCTTGCCGTTGAGTGTTGTATGGCTCGCAAGCTCCCCCATGCCGAGCTTGCGCTCTAAACACCACCGTGGCCGAGCTTTTATGGGGAGCTGCCACGAACCGATCGCCCTAAGCGCTCGAATCAGCCTAGAATCCGCCTACGACTGTGCTCGCCCTCGAGGTTCACCCTTGTGGATACGACTTCGCATCAAAAAGCTGATTAATTACGGTGGACGAGTGGGTTGCTGCTGACCTATGCTTTTTTCTACCGCGACTTATGTATCGAATCAGCTTCGCGTACTAGGAAGAATATTTGTAGACAACTTTGGAAGTTTGAGAATATGTGTGGACAACTTTTAGGGTGAAAGGATTTGGAATGTATTTTGATTGAGGTGTTTGAAGGAAATGATTTCTGAATTTTAGGAATTAAGGATTTTTATGATTGATTTGAGGATTTCAGATTTAGTAAATTTCAAAATTGCGAAGTTCTCAAACCACTGAGCAGCATATTGTCAGGGTTAGAAATTTTTATATTACAGACTTCTTTAAAGAATAGTCAAGTTTCCAGATGTTCATATCACCGAATATGTTAATTTTTAGTTTCTCAAAATCTTAATTCGTAATTTCTTAACCTTTTGATCAAATTCCTATTCTTAAATCAACATATTTCTGACTTTTTACGTTCCTAATTTTTGAACTTCTTAATTTCCCAATTTCTCAATGTCCGAATTTTCCAATTTCCCAGTTTCCCCAAATTTCCCAAACTCTCCAAATTCTCCACATTTCCTATATTCCCCAAACTCATCAAATTCCCTAAATTCGCCCAAATTTTCCCAAATTCTCCCAAGTCTCAAAATTCTCAAATTCCTCAAATTCCTCAAATTCCCCAAATTTCCCAAACTCTCAAAATTCTCCAAATTCACAAAATTCCCCAAATTCTCCCAAGTCTCAAAATTCTCTAAATTCCCCAAATTCTCCCAAGTCTCAAAATTCTCCAAATTCCTCAAATTTCACAAATTTACAAAATTCCTCAAATTCCTCAAATTCCCCAAATTCTCCAAATTTCCTATATTCCCCAAATTCCCTAAATTCCCCAAATTTTCTCAAATCTCCAAATCCTCAAAATACTCAAATTACTCGAATTCCTACAATTCTCCAAATTCCCTAAATTTCTCTAATTCTTCAAGCTCCAAATTTCACATATCAAAATCCTTTTATTCCAAAATAGCTAAAGTATAATATTAACCCTCTCTTTCCATACAATATAAAAATCTCCAACCCCTAATTAAATTAACTGCATTATCATACATTCTCTTCATAAATAGCACACAAAATATTTGTAGAAAACACATATTTAGTTCTCTGAAAATACCCTTCTACAAAAATAGACTTTATTGAAGAACATACGCATGAATGCAGCCTTAGCTGTTCTTTCAACTACACACTTGACGTAACAAACTCAAATTAAATTACGTAGAACGGATTTAAAAAGAAACCGAAGTAAAAGATATTATTCTGTTTTTCTGTCGCTTAACTTCTCTTTAATATAAGACTTCCGTGGGAAGCAAATTCCCCGTTCGATAGAGATTAGGTTACAGCGACGCAATATTTTCGAAAGCCTCGGAAGGACGGAGAGTACATATTGAAGCTTGAAAGCTTTTTAGGTGATTGCTATAGTTACATGGTTCACCTTCGCGAAATAAATATTCGGGTCTCGTGTTCTCGATACGTGCGTCTACGTGTATGTTGATGAAATATTTCTTCCACTAAAAATTTTATGTTCTATGATATTTTTTTAATACGTTGTCATAGTAATTTAGATAAATACGATAATAATTTGTGTTTTAACAATTACCATGTGTTTTTTCATTGGTATGGAATGTAATGAACTTTAAACACTTCAGTGTGGGGTGTATTTTTAAATTCCAAGATTTGAGAAGAAATTTGTATTCTGTTAAATTGAATTTATTTAACTCTCGCCTAAATTGGTCATTTTAAATTATGCAAAAATTGTCAACAATTCAATTTGTATTTAGTTTGTAATAATTTGCAAAGCAAAGTAGTCACAAGTACATAATTAAAACTTGAGAAGTTTGCTTTAATATTTTTAGAACTGTGTGACAATGTCACCGTAATTTTCCTGTTTTCTCAGTTGGAAAGAGTTGAAGGTGGAACATAGAAAGCAGCATTTTTAACAGAAAACCTGTTTCTGTATATTTCAAACGAAATCGTACAATCTTTTATTTACAATAGTTCGTTAGTATCGCAGAACGAGTACGTTATGTATATAATAATAAGTATGTACAATATTGAAAATTTTATAATGGTACGCACGAAGCGGTGGACAAATACGGTGATGTTGAGAAACTCTCGAATAAAGAACCGGGAAGCGTTCTCGAGAAGTAGAAGAGAGAATGAGAAAGGGAATAAAAGTATTCCGATCGTATCGAGAAAGGGAGGGGAAAAAGAATGCGAAAGAAATTTGACGAAATGAAACAGGAAGAGAATAGCGGCTTAATTACGGTATAGTAAGTGCAGGTACATTAGAATAATCAAATAACATGCGATAGAGCGTATTTATACAATAATTATCGATAGAAATAGACTTTTTATACGTTAATCGTCGCTTTCTAATCTCTTTTCGTTTTCTCATCAACTTTTTATCTTCATTCTCAACCTACGTTTTCAATCTTTCACGAATGTCATCGCGTTAAGCACGTATTTTGATTTCCTAGAATTTTCATAGGATCTATCTAAATAGCATCGGCGTCTTTTCCCGCGACCGATGACCCTAAATAACCTTTAACTCGATGATCGCTCTAATCGACTAACGAATTGGCACTAAACCGATCTGATATGAGAGATATGGAAGTGCTTGCAGACGAACGAGCTCTGCTTGATGGACTATCGAATCGTTCCAGAACGATCCTCGATACTCGCGAACACGTTTGATCAAACACAATGATGCCCTAGTACAATTCACATCGAGATGTTTCCGTTAATCATTGTTTCGATCGATTACTATTCATCTGTCTCTCTTGTTCATCGATCAAAGAGAGATCTAGATATTCCATTTTTCGTTCGATTGATTTTTCACAATCGTTATTTTCTAGAAGAGGTTGGTTCAGAAAATGTCGCATTCTGGGACAATCTTCTTAAGGTTAATTTCATTTTATCTGCAATTTTGCTTATTTCACTTACATAATAATGGACTCATACGTCAGATATAATCACTCGCATATTTTTAATAGAAACAATATCAATGTATCAATACATGTAGTATTAATATACTATCAATATTATACATCTACACATGTGATGTCTACACATGTAGCTGCCAGATGTTGATTTTAAGAGAAAAATAAAGATATACACGTGGCCATAACCTTTCCAAGGTTCATTCTATCTGACCTACACATAAAATAATAAGTTAGAAAATATTTTTAAAAGGTTAGAAATTTCAAAAAGCTCCCTCTACTACAATTTTTTGATTGAAAGTTCTAAATAAAGTTTCCTATAACCTCAATGTCCCAAAATGGCGTTCGAACCAAGACCTTAAAATCTCTAATAATTAATATATCGAATCCCGTTCGAATAAAGGTGAATCTGTCCCATTTTGTTCATCGTTTCCTTTGTGCACGTTGATCTCACGTGTGTCGTGCGTGTTGAGCAATAATTTCACGTGACAGAAAAATCGCAAAGAGAAGATTTTGCTCGTATCGTTTCCGATCAGGCTAATTTCGAAACGCGTGCTCGATCAGTCGATCGTTTGCTTGCTCGTTCACGCTAACGGAAATCGATTAGCAAGCTTCGAGTGGGGAATGAGTGCCGAAATGAAGGCTCCGTTAAAATTCGTTTCTCGTGCACGGACGAATGCGAATTTGGTGGACGCCTGGATTAAGGCCGAGTAAAGGATTCACAACCATTCTAGATGTATGGGGTCGCGACAATGTTTCCGTACGCTTCGAAACAACTACGTGAAGACACCGTTGGGTGTTAGATGAACTCGTGATTAAGTATAACTACGTTACGATCAACACTATAACCGAGGCATGCGCAACGTTTTTTAATATAATAATTGGGCTGTATTTTTTATAGTTCAACTATCGGGATTATTGTAACAGCCCATTAATACTAGATTTTGATTACTTATCCTTGAATTTCGAAGGAATGACAACTTTCAGTATGTGCTTTCATAAAACGTGCGTTTAGGTTGATAGAGTTGATTTTGGTGAAATTTCAGATTTTTAAGTGGAATTTTTAATTTTCAGTTGCCTAAATTCCTAAACTCCGAGATTCCCAAATTCTCATATTCTCAGCTCTCCTAATTGTCAAATATCCCAACTTCCCAATTTTCCAATACCCCATTTTCTTATTTTCCAATTTTTCAATTTCTCAATTTCCCAATTTCCCAATTCCCCATTTTCCAATTTTCCCAATTTCTCGATTTCCCACCTCCCCATTTTCCAATTTCTTAATTTCCTAACTTCCCATTTTCCAATTTTCCCAATTTTCCCAATTTTTCAATTTTCCTAATTTTCCCAATTTTCCCAATTTCCTAATTCCCCAATTTCTCAATTTCCTAATTTCCCAAATCCTCCAATCCCTAAATCTTTGAATCCCCCAATTTTCAAATTGTCAAATATTTTAATGACCAAACTTGTACATTTAGAATTTTCCAAATTTTCACTTTTCCAAACTTCCAAATTCCGATATCTATAATTCCCCAGATCCCCAAATTTACCAATTTTCAGTTCCCCAAATCTCTAAATTGTCCAATTCCCAGTTACCCAATTCTTTAAATCTCCAACTCCCAAAATTCCTAAAATATCTAATTTGCATTTCCTCAAATCCCAAAATCCTCAAATCCCAAAATCCTCAAATCCCAAAATCCTCAAATCCCAAAATCCTCAAATCCCAAAATCCTCAAATCCCAAAATCCTCAAATCCCAAAATCCTCAAATCCCAAAATCCTCAAATCCCAAAATCCTCAAATCCCAAAATCCTCAAATCCCAAAATCCTCAAATCCCAAAATCCTCAAATCCCAAAATCCTCAAATCCCAAAATCCTCAAATCCCAAAATCCTCAAATCCCAAAATCCTCAAATCCCAAAATCCTCAAATCCCAAAATCCTCAAATCCCAAAATCCTCAAATCCCAAAATCCTCAAATCCCAAAATCCTCAAATCCCAAAATCCTCAAATCCCAAAATCCTCAAATCCCAAAATCCTCAAATCCCAAAATCCTCAAATCCCAAAATCCTCAAATCCCAAAATCCTCAAATCCCAAAATCCTCAAATCCCAAAATCCTCAAATCCCAAAATCCTCAAATCCCAAAATCCTCAAATCCCAAAATCCTCAAATCCCAAAATCCTCAAATCCCAAAATCCTCAAATCTCAAAATCCCGCAAACCCCTAAATCCCCAAATCCTCAAATCTCCAAATCCCCAAAATTCTCAAATCACCAACCTAACCTAACATAACAATCCAACAGAAAAACAAAGCAAAATATAATAAAATTGAACATCTGTAGAACCCATGTGCACATTTTATGAAACACCACGTTCGATAACATTTTGTTTCGATAATCCAGAAACATGATTCGAGTGGAGTCAAAAATTATTGCTAGTCATTACGCCAAGCATGCTCGTTGGATTACGTTGTTTCGCAGCTTATGGAACGCAGATCGCTCGTCCCTTCGAAAACTGAACTGAGAAAACCGATATCTACAGCTATAAACTACTATGCACGACGCGTGCATGCGTGCATCTTGCGTTTTATGCAAATATATCGTCGTCTAACTAGAACCACGACGCGTCTGCGGCGTCCGCGTAAAAAATTTGTAACAATTCTTTATATATATATCGATCTCCTTTAGATAATCGATTATATTCACAGACTTAACTTACGAGCTAAGCTTATGAACTACGTGTTTTTTCTTTTTTGGTGCGAAGACAGATCCTGGGGGCGATTGTGTCAATATTTTATATCATTTTCCGCTCTCCGTTCAAAATAATGAAACAATTATTTTGAAATAATCGGTGGAGCAAAAATGGCTTTCTCTAGTAGATTTCTTCTATTCTTTCATTTAATAGAGTCTCTTTTTAATTGAAAATATGAAATCATTCTATTAGTAATATCGACTTAACTCACTTAAAATGTAAATGAATTTGATTTGTATACTTGCTTCTCATATATATATATCTATGTATAATTACTTTAATTTCAATTTTAAGTCATATTGTAACTGAAATTAAATTTAAAGATTTTATCATTTTTGAATATTTGAAGTGAAATGAAAGTAACTGAAAAATTATTACAAACGTGACATATTGCAATGAATAATAATTTTAGTAAATGAGTATGATAATTTCTTAATATTAATTCTGCTATATTTATGTATTACCATATGTGAAGACAATATTACTTATAGAACAATCCGTACCAGAAATATTTGAAAGACGCGAAAAATCTTGTTGACACAACCCAGGATTTTGATTTGTTCTTTGTCTTTTTTGGAATACTCTATGAATCGATACTTTCGTAAAGTACAAGCCTCTCAAACTTCGCTCGCCTCGCGCGAGCCTCAGACACGCAGATTTGGGTGAAATGATATTTCAAACGCAATAATAACTCGTCCAATTATCCTGAAATGTTAATCGAAGCAAATGAACGCTTCGAACAAAGATAATTGGAAGATATTTCCTCGCTGTATTTTTCATCTTCATCATCTTATCCTCGTGCGGATAAATATGACTTAACAGATACATCTTACACAAGCGCATCACTTATCCTAGTACGAACTGCGTGAAAACGTGCCACTCGAAATATTTATCCCTTACGTTTAAATTTATATCACGTTGTAGGAAGGCGCACCTTGTAATCTTTTGAACCTCGCTTTGGAATACTGGTAGATGATCGAGACCGAGCTCTATTCTCGAATAAACCACCATACTTATCCCGTACGTTAACGATCTGTCTTTAAAAACTTCTTATTGCGTTCGTATAAAAATCGCGCGGTTAAACGATCGACACTCGCACGTCGAAATCGATCAAATAAGATTATTTGCTATGTAAAAATATCGCAGACATCTGTTTAACACCTCGGAAAATAGCGATGACACTTTCGATACGCGATCTCGTTTTTTACATCTTAACTTAATTTTGTCCAGAATCGCGGTTGTCGTTGGATAATCTTTATGGAATTGCTGCGCGAGTTTTATTGAAATTAAAGGGCAAACGCAGGACCGCCGTTTTGAGGGCTCAAAGTTATTGTTGGGTTTAGAGAAATTTTCAAATTTTACGATTTTCCATTTTTTCAATTTGCCAATTTTCCAATTTCCAATTTTCTAATTTCCAAATTCCCAATTTTCCAATTTCCCAAATTCCTAATACCCCAAATTTCTAATGCCCCAAATTCTCAATTTTCCAATCTCCCAATCTCCCAATCTCCCAATCTCCCAATCTCCTAATTTCTGAAATTTCTAAATTCTGAATTTCCCAATTTCCCATTTTCCCAATTTCCCATTTTCCCAATTTCCCAATTTCCCAACTTCCCAAATTCCCAAATTCCCAAATTCCCAAATTCCCAAATTCCCAAATTCCCAAATTCCCAAATTTCCAAATTCCCAATTGCTCAAATTCCCAATTCCCCAAATTTCCGCTATCCCAAGTCGCCGTTTTCCAAAATTTCCAGCACCTCCAATTCCCATCTCCCAATTCCTCCAATACCTCAAATCGCCATTTTCCCAAATTTCCCAAACCCCAAATCCCCAGCCCTAAATTTCCAATACCCCAAATCCCCATCCCTAAATTCTCAGTAGCTCAAATTTTCAATTTCCCAAATCGCCAAATTTTTCCTCAACACCCCATTATTTCTGATAATATTATAACTTTCAAACCCAATAACTTTCAGTGAATTTTACCCCAATACCAAATTTAATCGGCGGCACTGCGAATGTCCAAGCGAGATAAATAAACAAAGAGTTCGTAACGAATATTTTGTCTATTTTTTTATAACGAAGGCAATCGACCAAGCTTAAGTGCGATAAATTGAAGCTCAACATTGGTTGGAAGTAGTGAGGTTCGATATAAGTCAGCCGCGTTGAATTAGGAGCGAATTGAACTTGTCTTCGTTGCTGGAATCTTGTTCTACCACGTTGCTATTGCTTTCGAAGGATCGTTTGGAGTTTTTAGAACGCAAAGTACGCTGAGGATTTTCAGTAATTTCTTCGGCGTCACTCCCGCGCTGGGGGGTGAGCCCTTGGCAGCAGTCAGTATTCCTCTTCGTCTTCTCCCAGGATGCTGTACGAATGCAACAGAAAACTGGTGATAGAAAATACAACAGGACCTCTTTGTCGAGCTACATCGAGAAGTATTACTTCAAGGAACTATCTTCAACTTGGAAGAAATAGAAAAACAATTGTTTAATATTTTATTGTTGACGCATCTGCTGCGTCTTCGTTCTCCAATAAGTAGATTTGCACATTTTACTTGAGTCGCAATTTTTTTTTATTCACATGAGACTTTTAACGATAATTGACGCACTTATAAGAATAATTGAAAGTTATAAAATTTCTTAAAAGTTGTAAAAATAATTTATTTGCTATAGCAATGTTACTAGGAAATAGAATGGTCTTCTGAGGTCAATCATCGCTGTAGTCAACGCATGTAATTTAAATAATTTTCTAGGACTTTTAGAATAATTTTGTTAATGAGATGAAATGATAATCAAAGATTGCAAGTTTTCGATACTTCCTCGAAGCAATTTGAAAGTCACAATAGGTTATAGTTTCTTCTAGCCACACTGGGCACTGCATACATACACGTTACTTACTCTTCCTTCCTGGCGTACTTGTCAATCAGATTACGGCCTGGTCCTCCGCAAGTTTTGCCCATCGGTGGGCAGTACCAATAACACAACACACCAAGGGATACCGCGAAAAGAACGATAGGCACTACCAAGGCTAGAACGAGGTGCCTCAAATTTTCGTCCCAAGAGTACCTGAAAACATCCACAAAAATCAAACATTAATTTTTATTATAAAATATACTTTACATAAATGCGACAGTAGAAACGGACTGAAACTATTACTTCAATTTAACTAACTTTCTGTGAAATTCTGTAAAATATTTCCATTATGAGTTATTCAATTATTGCTCTGCAAATGATATTTTCAAAATGTTCTCATTATTATATGGTATATTTTCATAGCAGCATCTTGAAGTAAAAATTCATATACCTTGAAAATTAGGAAATAATATTTTTAAACAAAACTTCCAAATCAGTTAACGAGTATATTTAGAAAATTGTTGAATTTTCTAATAAATTTTGTAACATAGCTTATCATAGTATATTGACAAGCTCATATGAATTCATAATACACGACTTCAATTTGAAATTAAAAAATGACACCTTTAAAAATACAGAAAGAAATGTATTCAGAGAGAGACTAACAAAGTTTCTGACAGAGTAGTATATTAATTTCGAACTTATTGATCCATCATGTTCTGCATAGTATGCATCAAACATGAGACATTTCGTGCTTGCACAGTGCTCACGAACGAAGTATGTATAATTATACCTTGCGACGACAGTCTCGGGGTGTGTTCTGCTGTAATAACACGGAAATATCTTCCCCATGTTCGAGTATCCGAATTTCTTCGCAAAATCAGAACAATTCACCCTAGGTGGATAACCGCAGCCTTCCGTGTTCACGAAGAATTTCGTGTCTGGAACGTCCCATGGGATGGAACCTAATGGTTTCGCCACGAATTCTTCGAAAGTCAATCTTGTATAGTTGACTCTGATCTGATGGCAACGAAGTGCGGCGCTGGTACAACCTGCGATATTCATTTCGTAATTAAAACCAACCCTCGTTCTTGACATTTGCGTGAGATGTCTAATGCATATTCATTCAACATCTTTGAACATGATTCATACATCAATTTTTACATTCTGATACCTAGACTAAATCCCACTTGAAGTGGGATAAATCTATCTTGAAATCTGATTTGAAGTAACAAGTAAATCTTCATGTTTCTTTTGAGTGACTATTTAAGAAATTTGATAGACAAAATTTTTAATCAAAGTCACCACTGCATTTTTAATGAAAGTTACCACTGCAGTGACCACTGTATGAAAACAAACTATATTCGTAATTTGATCCGTATGAAATATGAACAATTTTGAAACTAAGTATGTGCAAAAGTCGAATATAGTTGTCTGAGAAAGTATCACACAGAGATATGTGTAGAGTCATCGAATAAAATAGACAAGTTTGAATAAAGATGAAAGTCGTACCTTCCCTACAGCTTGCCCACGAGCAGTTTTTCAGTCCCTCGGCGTAAACGTGATCGGTGACAACGCAGGCTACGGCGTGAGGAGAGAAATCGGCCAAAATGGTGGAAATGGCAGGTTCCACGACGAAGGGTATTAAGAAAAGAAAAGCAAATACGGCGAGAATGGCCGTGGTGCCCAGACAAAGAGACGTGTAGAACTTGGCCTTTTCCACTAAAGACGCAACTTCCACCACCGGTAGCACCCCGCCCATGGTGCTGGACTTGGTGTCCTCTTCCTGGGCACCCATGATGACCGTCGACTCGTCGGAATCAATGATTGCTTCGTTGTTTGGGTCGCTGGGACCCAATTACCAAATTATAAAAATTTCTCTGCCTCCAGGGGCAACGAGACTCTTGTAACCGGTTGAAAAACGTGTGGTGTTCGTGTGACTTTGTTTCTCTGATCCGAAATCTTCGAATGATTAACTTTTCGAACTTAAAACTCCTGTATCACCGTAGGCCGAGCTTCTAAACTTTATAGCAGGTTCAAGGTTTACTTTGAAAAGATTCAGGTGAAACGAAGCGACAAATCGTCAAAGAGCTTGTGTGTTGTATGGCGATTATCGGTGCAGCGATTGTCTCTGATCGATCATATACCAGCAAGGCACGTCCTTCGATCCTCAAAGTGTACGGTGTGTAGAATGTGGTGGTTACAACGTTTGCTTAGTCTCGATACGCGCAGGCTATATGTAATAAGATGGTTTCTTATCTACTGTCACGGCGAATCAATCAGAAAAGGGGGACACTTAAAAAGCTACCGACGAAACGTGTCACGTGTGAAAGACGCCGAATTGTCTGGTTCCAGTTTCCGTCGTAATCCGAAAAAGTATATCTCAATGGTCGAGTCCGAAGTATTTCAGGATCTCCTTTTGTCGGCAGAAGAGAGAAACAGGCGAGAGCTGGGTGTCGTATAAACAGTTCGAAGCAATCGTTCGATCGATCCACGTGCGTTTTATAAGTATGTCTTTCTTTGTGTGTCTCTGTGTGTGTGTCCGTTCAACACGATTTTACGTTTAAAAAAACAAGCACGTGTGCTCTCGAATATGTTTGTGTGTACAGGCAGTGCAATTAAGAGAAATCTTTGCTTTGATACGTTTTCTCTTCACCGTGTTTTTGCTCTCTCTCTTATTTTTTTTTGGCTCGTTTTCTTTTTTCTCGATGCTTAGCTTTTTTTTGCTGAACTGTGTTTGTTGTATGCTTTTGAGTATTTTTTTGCTTTTTGCAAGATGAGAATTTTAACCACGCGTTCCCCCCCTCCCCACACCTTAGTAATGCCCGCGCAGGGAGAATATCGACTGACGAGCCGGACTCTCCTCCAGGAGGGGAATGCCTGTGAACAAACAAATGTTTTAATTAACCATTTTGTAGTTCCTTTGACACGTTTAAAAATTATTAGGCTGTTCGAGTCTTTGGTTAACTCTTTTTAAATCACATTTCGGGGCAACGAATTTAATTATTAGATTCATGACTACTATATAAGAAATATGAAGGATCATTGTCAAGTTATGTTTCAAAGAAAAAAATGCAAGTACTCAATTATTATATTCGTAGCAATAAGGAATTGCTCCTGAAGACTTGTACTATCAGTACATCAAAAATTCTGAAACTCCCTAGTCAATTTATATGAGGAGAAGTCTTGAGACATTTGAAAAGATACTTCCACGTCTATAATGACGATAAATTTCATTAACAAGATTATTTAGGGTTAAAAATTGTGTAAGGCTGTTTAAAATTATGTAAGGTCTAGGTTCAAAATTATGTAAGACCATTCAAATCTTTGATTACCTCTTGTTATAAAATGTTTTAACACCGCAGTGTTTATCTAACTGTTAAATCGATAACAATAAAAATTATTCCTATAGAAATGCTAAATTATAGAAACTAATCAATTGAAGAAGTGCAAACATTTCCTGCAGACAACCAGATACTTCCAGAAGTATAAAATCTTAAATCGTCCAAGAACGTTATCCAAAAAATGTGAAAAATTGTTCGAGGGTTGTTGAAAAGTCCTTACGTGACGGATCTCAGAGAGACATAGCAGAGTTTCCTCCGCCAGCATCCCCTAGGTTACCCGAAGCGCTCTTCTCTATCGACCCATGTGCCCCGACGGTGCCCTTGAATCTCATCTTGGCATCATCGCCGACCACTACGGTCCTCTGACAAAAGATCAGCGTCAGACAACTGACGACGAACAGAATACTAGGCAACAATAACGCGATCAAGAACTCCTTGTAGGTGTTTTCCAAGTTGAACCGGGACACGACTATGCCGGTGTTGCTTTCCGCGTAATAACAAGGAAATCTAGCGCGTGCGTTATGATCGGACCCGTCCTTTCCATATTCATGAAGGAACTCCTTGCACTCCTCGCGAAGGGTGTTGACGCAACCTTCCAGATTGATCAGCAGGCGACTTTCATTAGCGATGATGAGGTCCTGTTCGGGTGGAGCGACCATTCTAGTTTCGTCCAATGGTTTGGTGGCGAAAATGTTCAGATAAGACAAGTAGGTGAAGTTGGTCAGGTCAGTTAGCAGGTCCTTCTCCAGAACCGAGCCGTTGATGCAATCCACAGCCTCGACACCTAGGGTGGAATTGAAAATCCCGTAGCAGGACGCCATCATCACGTCTCCGCGGTCCTCGTGCCAGATCTCTCGATTCGTCTGCACGTCTATAGCCCTCTCGCACTGACTCAGGTACACTTTATCGCCGCTCAACAGGATCATGTTCTTGTTCCTGGTCGGGATGTCCACACACCTGCGGTCGCAGTTATACGGGGTCCTGATTCTCTCGCAGGTACCGCGGTTGCAGTTGAACAGACCGTCTATGTCTATGCAGGTGATCTTTCCTCGTCTACCGGAACACTTCATGGGCGGATCGGTGTCGTGGAATATGCATTCGAACGCGTCGGTTATGTTGATACACACCCCGGACGAGCAGTTGAACGTTCCGGTCAAATTGCGGCACTCGTCCGCGATGCATTTCGATTTCTTCGCGTTCTCCTGATCGATACCGTAGCAAGTCTTGTTGGTGGTGTTGGTACAGTTCGCCAGCAAGATCGTGGAACCGTTCCTGCGGAGGTTCACGTGGATCTGAACGCAGGGGCCGGACGTCTTAGAGAGACACCACTCTCCACAGCTACCCCATTCGCAGTTGTCCGCGTTTACCGCTCGTATTGTCGTGCACATCACCGGCACCTCGCTGATGCCAGATTGAAACGCTCTGGTGCTGGGCATGTAGATCGCCACGGTAAGGTAGACCAGAGCTACGGAGGACAGAACTGCTGTCATCTGACAGATGCATATGGTCCCGCAGATCCGACCGTCTTGCGGCGGGATCACCAAGTTCTCCACTGGCACTTGCTTCGGCATCGTGCCGAATCTCTTGTTGGATCACCAAGAGGATCCTGATGTCGAGGAGCGATTAACTATCCCGACAGTTTACATCCTACATCCGATCATCGCCATTTCACTGTGTTTTTCTACATCATGGTTACAGCTGACCCACTAATCTCGATGATTACTCTTTTGTATTCTTTATAAATTACTCAAATTATCAGTTTCCTGCGTTGTACGTACCACCGGCCATGGAAATAAACGGTCTAAACGTTTGATCAACAATTTCTTTGTTGCACCGTCACATTTGTAGCGTTCTAGTCGCTGTCACCACCCTAGCTAGTTTTTCTCCTGATCCTCGATACGTTGTGTTAGGTCCAGATCGGTCGCTGGAGAATCTTGACGATTTCAGAGGCTCACCAGGATTTGCATCGCGATTTTGATCAATTCCACGTCAGAGTTTCTCGCAAGTTCGAGCCACGGCGTTCTTTTTACAGCAGGACGAGGCTGGCCGCGCGCGTGTTCTGCTTTCGGTCGCTTTGCGCCTCGTGTGGGGTGCGCGGCCGAGAAGCTCGAACGGCAACGCGCATCGATCGATTGCTCGAGCATGCGCACTGTCGAACTGCAACGACGCCGTACATTGCCGCATTTGACGTCATTGGTGTACCACTGTGCCATCAGGAAGATTCCTGTTGCAGGATAATCGTCCAGAGATGGCGGGATCCGCCGGATCCAGCGGCAAGAAACTGTATCGTGACGCTTCTTGCTAAAATCTACTCGTGTTTTAATCGAATTTCAATGTGCGATGTACAACTTCGATTTCAGGGATTTTTATGTCTTCTGAGGTTCTGACTCTTCTATCAAATTCTTTTGAATTTTTGCACGCGTGTTTATTTATTTAGCACATGTGTTTTATTAGTATTTTATTCCAAAATTTCAGCACTTAATGAAATGATCTAAAATTTAGAAAAGAGTAAAAAATCTATAATTCTAGGTTTTAAGTTTGTTGATAAATCTTGTTGTCTGTGGTTTTGGATGCTGACAGTTATTTTGAGTATAAATTATTTTCAATTTTGAGACACGTGTGTGACTCATTTTCTGTTGCCTAGAAATTCAAGTACATAACAAAATAATGATCACTATATTATATAAAAGATATAACTATAAAATTCACGGTACAAGCTCAAATCTAAATTTAATAAATAAATTTATCTAAATAAATTTTTTAAAAGGAAATCATAATTACTATTCGAATAATGGAGTTTCAGGAGATATTTGAAATTAGATGTACACTAAATGAAAAATGTATATCTTTCCTGTTGATAGCAATATTTTAATCTAAGAGTATTTCAAGCATAGTTATTTTCTACGAGCTCGTTATTTGTAGCAGGAAATCGATGTTATCGTTATGCTGCATGTAAATGCATACGGAATAAACATTACACGAATGCGTTCTAGGTGAAACTAGGTCGTACATTCAACTTCTTTTAATGAAGCTTAGAATTTTAACATGAACAGGTTGCATTTCGTTCTTGTTTCGCTTTTTAATCGCGTACGTTCCAACATTGAAGTGTCATAATGCAGTACATAAGAAAAACAATTAAAATTTCCAGCATAAACAATCAAAATTCTATTGCAGTATATTTTCAATTATGAATTTTCCTATGTAATTTCCTACTGTTAAATTTTGATGTATTTAAGAAATTTTAAATACATGAATTTAATATTAAAATGTTCGTCGTAATATAATTCTGCAATAATGAAAGTCATGTTAAAATTTCGTTGGTTATACTGTTAGCTAAATATTTGAAATTTACTATTAGCAAATATTAATATTTCATAAAAATAGAATAAGAATTCAATTAAACGTAAAAGTTGTTTTAATGTAAAATTATTAAACGAGGAAAATATCGTAATCCGTAATTGCAGAAATTTCTAAAATTCAACGAAAATTGCATCGTGGAAGTTATCGAATTTCTTCGTGAACTTATCGAACCCAATGCATTAAAACTTTAACTTCAAATATTGAATCCACGAAGAAAACTAGTTTATTTTCCCTTTGAGATTATCAGCTCGCGACACGAATCAACTGTGACACAGTTTTCCTCGCCATAGGTCTTTCAGACCAGGTGACACAGTTTGAAGAGCAAGCGACAGTACGAGACAAAACCAGCGTACGACCGCTAACGTGTAATTAATAGCGTTAAAAAGCTCGTTCTCTTTCAATGTTCAAATCACATCATGCACGTATTTCGTAATTTAAACTCGAGCAAAATTCGAGGCTGGAATTTTCCTGGTGCGATTAAATCCCTGGCCGAATTTTCGTAATATTCGAAGGAGCGAGGTAAAACACGAGAAGCTGTAATAACGGCAATTACGGTAGTCTGGAAATCTCTCATGGGGTCGTAGCACTTTCTTCGACGTCGTGAAATAAGAATAAAAAACGGAAGAGTTCTTTTTCAGAACGCTGCGTGGTAATCGTACAATAAGAGCGAGCGACGTGGAAACTCGGTTTTTTCTTCATCGCGAAATTAAAGCCGGTATCGCGATAACGCGTGCTAACCGAGAAGCACCACTTAAGTATCAACCTGGCATTTTCCATAACATGTACGCTCCAGTTTTTTTAATTCTCGCGAAATTGAAGCCACTATGGAGGTTGTGACACAGTTTCCGTTCGCGGCAGGACCTTAACTACGGTTGACACAGTTCGATGCGCAAGCAACGGAAAAAGAGAGGACGAAGAAAAAAGAAGAAGCAGAAAGAAGAAGAGGTGGAGGAGGAAATAGAAGGCACAACGCGTTAGCGTGTAATGTGGTTTATCGAGCGTTAGCCGCAGACGGTGTGGCGCCTGCAGCTTTACACCTTGTTGTTTGAGATCTCGACGCTACGCGTATCGACCGTCCTTTGCAATTCTGTGTACTATATAATCGAGAATTTTAAGTTCTTTTGTATCTGCAAACATCGTGTCAGATATCACATTCTCCTTAATGAGAAAATACATAGCGCTGTTGTTAACTCTTTCGGTGCATGTTTTACGAAAGATTTTAACACGATGAGAAATAGTGGTACTCATGAATGATGTTGCACGTTAATATTATTATTAATAACTTGGAAGTTTAATAGTGATAGGTTGTTTATATTTTTACTGTTACTTTTTGTCACGTCTGTAATTGATCTCTTGCACTAGTTTAACGAGTCTGACGCACTCTTTGCGTCACTGACAGCTATAATCAATTTTACTCGAACTTTTGATGTGCACTTGGGAGTTCAATCATAATTTGCATAGTCAACGATTGCATGATACCAAGTTGATATAACTCTTCAACTTTCTTTGTCTGTTTTAATATTTTAGCTGTGATTATCAAATTCAACGACCAGCATGGCAGTACTCGTGATAATATTTTAATACTGTCATGAAAGATCGCGAATATATTGTAGCAGAATTTAATAATTCATAGCATTCATTAATTTGAAAGTAGCAGAATAATTGTTGGGAATAATCGTTGGGACTCATAAATATTTCAGCTTGAATGTTTGTCTATTTCTGAGTTACAAATGCGTAAATTTGTGAATGTGTGAACATGTGAACATGTGAGCGTGTGAATCTTTGAATATGTGAATATGTGCATATGTGCATATGTGAATGTGTGAATGTGTGAATGTGTGAACATGTGAGTGTGTGAATCTCTCAATGTGTAAATATGTGAATATGTGCACATGTGAATGTGTGAATGTGCGAACGTATGAATGTGTGAATGTATGAATCTGTAAATATGTGAATGTGTGAATGTCTGAATGTATGAATGCATGAACGTGTGAATCTTTGAATTTGTGAATTTATAAATCAATGAAACTGTGAATGTGTGAATTTGTACATATGTGAATATGTGAATATGTGAATCCCTAAATTTCTGAACCTATAACATATGAAAATTTCTATACCACCAAGCTCAAAAATTAATAACTTCAAAATTCTCTTAACTTCCAAACAGAAAGTCTTCCATCCAGTAAACGTAATATAAAATTAATAAAACAACAATGAAACCAAATGCACGTAAATACTAAATATTCACAAATTTATAATTTGTCGCCTACACACCTAGCACAGTCATAGTCTCGAAACCCCATTAAACTCCCATTTTCTCGACGATTTACCTTCCGAATCTGAATCGAAGGATACAGCCCGTTTTAAAGTCGTCACTAATTACACTCGACGTTTCGTGCGTCTCTCCTTTGTTCTTGTTGGTCCCGCCTCTAGTTAAGCAAGCGCAGCACTTTTCGTCTCTTTTGTTTTTGTTCACCCTGTTCCTTTTTTTCGTCGCGTCGCGGTGCTCGTTAAACGAGCGCCACCCTTTCGCGCTCTCCGCCGCTGCCGGCATAAATATTTCGGTGTAAACTCCCTGTTTGTCTGATTTATGGTCGAGTCGCGCTCGGAAAAATCTACTCGATCGCTTCGTTCACGCATTTTTATTTCTTCTACAGATCGATCGCTCGAGTTCGTTCACATTCCGGGAGAGCTACGTTTTAACTTGAAATTTTTATCGCCTGCTATTTATCGACTGAATCGGTTTTCCCGTTCGATTCGTTCGTGCGACGAGTTCGAAGATACTGCTTATTGAAGATGAAATCGCTCGAGGAAACTCTTGGTGCGACGTGTGCCACGAGAAATGGAAGATTATATCAGTTTCGTGAATCGTTATAGGGTCAAGGGATAGACGTTATAGAAGAAGATTGAACATTATACTCATACTGATGTAGTGGAGTACCGAATGAATTTAAACCGCAGTTGTAAAGATGTCTGACATTCATGATGGATGATATCGGTTTAAGATAAATCGAAACTATAAAGATTTGTTGGCATTAACGAGAATACTGCATTAGTCAAGAATTGTTCGAATTTAAGTTTTTACTGATTAAGGTTTTACTATTATGAAAAGATTGTTATTATGTATTTTATGTTAAGGACGAGTTGAGGTTAAAATTTTAGGTTATGAAAAAATTTTTATTATGTATTTTATGTTATGCACTTGAGGTTT